GGGATAGACAGTATGTATATTTTAACAACAAAAAATCATTCATACAATCAAAAAGGAATCAGATTTAGGCTACTACACCACAGATATGACGATCCCGACGTACGAATGTGAAGCGAAATTGGTAACTTCAACGTACGGACGTAAAAATTCAAAAGCGGTCCATCCGATACTGTGTAACGGTGTTGATGTGCATTGTTAAAATAATCTCTATCGAATCCAAAACATCAGTTCAGTACTTTATTTTATTCATCGAACAAAATTTTCTATCTGATCCTTCTACTAAAATTTGAATATTTCAAACCTACGTACTTAAGATACTATTGATTTCATAGCCTAGTAGTAACAAATAGATCAATAGTTAACCATGTGATCTCATAGAATAGAAATAGAGTTACATTAGTTACAGATCAAATCAACGATGATATATATGTATATATATACATCGTGTGATCATATCTATCTTATTGGGAATCTATAATTAACCAACTAACCTGACTACTAGCAAGACAATATTGTTTTGCATCATCTTTATCACGGTAATTTGTTGTCAAGATTGTATTAGCCCAAAAATTAATGTCATGAATATACCACACCTTTCTTCTGTTTATGTACTGGAATTCAGAATATAATGACTTATTTGCACAAAAACGTAATTTTATTTTAACTACCACCCAATGCCCTGGTACGGTCGAGAGTCCACCCTCCCTCTCGAAATACTCTCACATGGTCACGCGTATGTAGCTTTTGGCAGGGAAGTCCTACTCACTGCCTTCTCACAGCATTAATGTTGTTTACGAAATTCAGAGGACGAACACGGAAAGTCCACCTAAGGGAGTTGGAAAACCCTGATTCCAAACCAATGGCACACATGTGCTCCAGTATCCCGAGGGAATAAATGGCGTATGAACCAATTGTTGGTCACCAACTACCATGAGACTGCATACCCTGATGTTGCTCCACTGCCTTGTGGATCAGAGGCTTCGGGTGTGGCCCCTTAAGAAAACGACCTGCTTCAGTTTGGGCACCTGGGCAGTATCATAGCCCTGACACAAATCCAATGAAATTTGTGTGGCGCATATGTACCTGGTGCTTCCTTGTGCCAATATTTATGTGTTTAAATAAATAAGAATAGACTGTCAGTTTGAACTAAGCGTACTTAACTACGGTTTGATTCGGAGTTGGATATCAACTGGGAATTTAATGATTACACTGTTTGAAAATATAGATAGAGTGTTATGACTTGACCTAGCCGTCGCCAATTTGTCATGTTTTTGACCTAGGTGGTAACCAATTGTTATGACTTGATCAAGGTCGTCGCTGATTCGTTATGACCTTACGAATTTAACAAGGACGTAATTCGCGTAAATTATCCACCAATAGAATACGCCTTCTACGACCTTCACACTGTGACAATGACGTTCGATTAGTATGAGTAATCTAGCGTCCTTATTGGCCCTTATCCGCCTAACCCGTCCACTTGAGTCCAAAACACCAATAGCAGCCTCGGCAATACGAATCGTTTATTTCAAGCATACTTTGTTTATATATCAGACAGACAGGCCACATCATACCATATAACAGAAAATAATATTTGTACAAAACCAGGCCAAATGAGGCTGTAAGTGTGGGAGACAATAATCAATAAAACTGAGTATAACATAGGGACAGTAAATCATATAGTAATAATCAATAGGTCAAAATAAAGCTTAGATAATCTAGTTACCGAATTGTTATACAATAAGAATGCTAGTCCAATAGTAGGTCCTGCAAGTTACCCGTACTTATGTCTTCGCTACTACATAACATAGAGGATAAATTTAAATAGATTTTTCAAAGTTGAAACCATGAGTCAATTGAAGCTAGACCACCATGAAAAACCTGGAAGCACTGGACAGCCGTTTCGTCCTATTATGGGACTCCTCAGGAGTGCGTATCCACGATCCCGCACTCACGAGATTTGAACTCAGGACCTACCAGTCTCGAGCCAGAGATTTAAATATCCTGTTATTTTTCACTGGAATTTGATCAGTTGTAGTTGATGCGTGTAGTTTTTATGTGGATTGTTTCGATATAACTACTGTAACATAGGTTAGTACAGAATAGATGTAATGCGGTTAGCAGTGAAATTCAATCCATTGCAAATTGAATTGAAATTCATACCCATTAAATAGGAAGAAAATATTTCTAAAATCTCAGTGAATGAATGTGAAGTAAATCCAACGTTTTGCCTGACAATCTGGTCCAAGCTTTTTCAAGGAAATATAATCAATTATCAAAATTATCTAATATAAATAGGTACATGGTTCTCCCGTTCATTGTATACTGAATAGGTCATCCAATCAGCGTTAAAATTTTCGAAACGTTGGATTTACTTGAAATTTATTCGCTGAGACTTTACAACTATATTATTCCTATTTAATGTCTTAAATCAACTCGGCGCCCAAATACTGTGAAACTATTCGCTCCAATTTAGACGAAAGCTGTTATATAAAACTCATACCCATTGCAAAAGTGACTGTTTATCTGTATTTAGTAGCTAGATGGATAACGCGATGGCTGTTGAAGCAAACAGCTCTATTGAGTTCGAGTCCCAAAGTGAACATTAACTCTGGGATGCAGGTACATCTACCTCACAAGTCTCAAACAGAATCAAATACACGTCTTGGATTTCATTACTTGCTGAATATCATCAATTCTGTACTAAGGAAGTTATTCCGTTTCTTAGTGTATGTCTTATTACAAGTTAGATGATATTTATTATGCAACCAGAATGTATACGACATTGAGTGGATTAACTTGGACCGATGCATAAATGTGCCTGGTCCTACGTTGTAGCTGACTGACTGGATTAACTTCTTGTTTTTACAGATCAATTAGATTTGTGTGTATCATTTTTAATAGTTGAGATCATGAGTCAATTGAAGCTAGACCATCATGGAAAACCTGGAAGTACTGGAAGGCCATTTCGTCCCATTGTAGGACTCCTCAGCAGTGCACATTCACGATCAGACTATAATTTACACCAAATATATAAGAAAGATGAAGGTTTTATTATTTAACCTTTCAATAATAATGTGTATAGGCAAGATGTATTTCATATAGTTGCCAAACAACAACTAATCTAGAATTGAATATTTAACAGAAATGAATTATAAAAGTCGATAAAGTATTAAAAAAAAGAGTTGAAATCAACTCTGAGATGCAGGTACATTCAACTGATGAGTCCCAAATAGGACGAAAAGCGCATCAAACTGGATTCCAATGCTAGTCACTATCCATCTTTTGTTTACCATGCTTGTGAATTAAGGCTATATCGAGGCAATATGCACAGTATGCACATATGGCCAATTAGAGACTGACCAGTTGTAGTCCTAAAACATCAATGGAAAGATTCAAACAAACAATACCAAGTGAATTTAATGCTATTCCCGTTTAATTCCAAACCCCTCCCTCCCAAACAAAAAAACTTAATCCAAATGGACAATATAACTGATGTGTTTACATAGTTATTGAAATAAACAGGGAACTGTTAATAATACAAAATTAGTGAATGTTCAAATCACTTGATGAATGGCTAGTTCGATTTCACAAAATTTATTTTGTATCTCAGTTAGATGTTCTTATGATAAATAAATGGAGATGGTTTCGAACTTAATACACAGTTTATTATTGAAGTAGTCAATGTATATCTATATATTTAAAAAGAAAAACAAAAAACACAAAAAAACAAACAAGGGTCACTTACCCAATGAGAAAGAAACTTAGAATGAAATAAAATTAAAAAAAAAACACAAAGGAGAAGACAAAAAAAGAAGAAAAAAACGAAAATAATATCAGTCTGACGCATATAATTGACAAATTGTATTTACTTTAGGGTATATATATATATATATATGCAGAGAGGGAGAGAGAGGGGGGGTTATATATGTATAAATATATATGTCTCTGAAAGAAATATGGGGGAAGTCAAACAAAGACCAGATAATAATAATAATAATGGATCTAGGGTATTATTAATCAGCAGTATATATATGTGAAAAGATAATCTTATTTAAAATTTCTATCATATAAATAAAAAAAGAAGGTAAAAATGGCTGGCACCCCCACCCCAAACGCCCCTTTACAACATATAGACAGACGGAAATATATTTTTAACAAACAGATGGCGTAAAGAAGAAGAAGGGAAAGGGGGGTTGTGTATTCAATGAAGTAATGGCAAGTTAATTCATTTAACAGTCTATATGCATATAAATATATATTTGATATTTATAAGTAGGTAGGTATATGATATGAATGTCAGTTGTACATATACATATACATACGCACTTACACACTACACAACACACACATTTAGAAAGACAAAAAAAGCATATACATCTTTGGAACAATTAGGGTCATTGTGACCAAAAAAAAAGAAAAACTATTCTAATCCATATACAACAGACATACAATTGCATAAACATACAACCCCCCCCCTCGACAAAAAATTGTAAAAAAAAAACAAGTGGTTAATCTGTATTTAGAATGAATGAATGAATCATTTAGGCAAGAGCAAAAAAAGAAAACTCGAGTGAAAAAGAGCAAAAAAAACATTGACGTTCTTTCCCTCGTTTATAAAACATACTACTTATATTCCATTATTAGTAATGAATAAATAGTAGTAATATATATATATATATATATATATATATATATATATATATATATATATATATATATATATAAGTTATTAGAAAGAAAGGTAAAGGTGTATTAGTTCGTTAATTGATGGACATACAAACACACACATACACACGATACATATAGATTAAAGAAAGGCAGAAAAACAATCAATTGATCAATTAATCGATCGATCAATTAATCAATCAATAAAAAAATCATTGAAGGATATGTCTTTATATTTCATTTGTCCAAGATGGATAGACAAACATATATATATATATATGGTAACCTAAAAAGATAGATGGATGGTAACAAACAACAACAACAACAACAACAAATTATGAAAGAAATGGATTATTATTATGATTATTATTAGTTGAACGATTAATTATCCCATTTAATGGAATAGAATGATTCAGAAATGATTGCGTTTGATATGGAATCTATAAAAATATAAACGAAATGAAAAAAATAATTGAAAACTATGGATTATATAATAATAATACTGTGTATAGCTAAGGTTTATTAAAGCCTTGATCATACAAAAATTCAAACCCCTATTTATATGTGTGTGTGTGTGTGTGGGGGGGGGTTAATGTCTCCCTTTGTGTATTCAAAAAAAGGTTTGTTCCACAGTGATTAGGTGTCAAATTGATTATAATCATATGCTCATTAGTGACTGACTTCAAGATACATGGTCCTGGAGTTCTAAAGAGAAGCAGTATTGACCAGTGGAGCTCAACAAAGTCTGTTGGGAGATATCAACTCAATGAAGACAATTGGTGAATGGTTGCTTAAACTTTGTGGATTGGTTGAAGTTAGACATTAAAACCGTTGGATACCAGCCGGCTCAGTGGTTTATTATTATTAATATCCTTGTCTACTCTTACCCCCTACATTTCCAGTCTAGTTGACCTTTGATTTTTATGAATAAATGTTCTTAACAAGTATATTATGTGTGATCAGATTGTTTGAAATATATTACACTGATATATCGTTACATAGTTCGGATAATCTTCGTCTTCTATAGTAATTTATCAAAGAGACTAATTGCTTTAGCTACTGTATTTATATATTATCGTGATGATGATTATTATTTATTTGAACACATAAATGTTGGTACTAGGGGGCACAAGATACTGATGCGCCACATATATCTCATTTGATTTGTGTGAGGTCTGTGATACTGCTCAGATGCCCAAACCGAAACAGGTGATTTTATTGGGGGGCCACACCCTGAACCTTTGACCTAAAGATCTGATCCAAAAGACAGTGAAGCATCGTGAGGAGATGCAGTCCCATAGTAGCCTGTGACCAACGATTCATTCATACGCCATTTGTTCCATCAGGATACTGGAGCCAACCTATGTGCACCATTCGTTTGGAATGAAGGTTTTCCAACTCCCCTAGGTGAAATTTACATGTCCACCAACCCGGTTAAAGCGCTGGAAATTCGCTTTTCGTCCTCTCAATTTCGTAAACAACAATTTTGCATTGAGAAAGCAATTAGTAGGACTTCCCTGGCAGAGGCTTGATGAGAATCTGATTTTTAACAATGAACCTTAGAAAAGCAACTGATTCATTTATGAAACAATAGAACATGAGATTGTTATTTCAAGTTTGTTATTCTAAAGATTTGATGCCTAATTTTAATCCAAATTAAAAAAATATAAGTAAATAGTGTATTCTATATTTATATGAACTTTTATTTACATTTGAAAACGAATAGTTTCATAATAGTGGAGGTTTGAGTTAATGTGAGAAATTAGGAAGGAAATTATATTTTTAAAACTCAGCGAGTGAGTTTTAGGTAGGTCTGATGTTTCACTTATCAGTTTTGGTACAAGGTATTTCAAGGAAATATAATAGAACATTGAATATGATATTCGATAATTTTGATGTTTCAGAAATAGAGTGGAAGAATGTTAGGAGATGCCATCCTATGCTAACCGGTAACCAACATTAGGTTCATACGTCATTTGTTCACTCAGGACCCTGGAGCTCACGTACATCATTAGTTTGAAATCAGGGTTTCCTAACTCCCCCAGGACATTTGCTTCCTGTCCTCTCACTTTCGTAAACAATATCACCGCAAAGAGGAGACAGTAAGTAGGAATTCCCTGACAATGTCTATATACCCGTGGCTATGTGAAAGCATTTCGAGAGGAAGGGAGAATCTCCTAACCCTCAGCCGTACCAGGGCAATAGGGAGCATTAAACACATTACGACAACCACTGACTAATAATGCTGCTTTATAGCTATTTAGCAATAGCTAAATAATTGAGTTGGGAGATTAATTATGGAGATTCACTTAGTCGTTTTAATGATAATGATGCAAAATCCAACATGAGATCTCCTCGTGGCCCTACTGAATAATGGGGGCAATCCTGATAGCCAACTTACGCGGTCGATGGAGATCAGACCAACCACCCACTCTGTTGTGTCTTTCATTAACTTGAGTTCCAACTCCAGGATCCATCAACCGTACCGAGCTACCTAATGTGTATGCTTATCTATAAGAATTTCAACAGTCTTCAGACCTATGTAAGTATGTATGTATATGCAAGAGGTATGCGTATGGTGTTGTACAAAGGAAACGTTAGTCGCGAAATGTCTAACAAAATCAGAGACTTATTCATCAGGTCGAAGATAATAAAAAGAGGTGGTATTAAATACTAGGGTGAGGTGATCAACAACCTCCATTGAGTGAGTAGGCTTCACCTGCTTCTGGTTGGAACACCAACAATATCAAAAAAGAGAGATCGAATATAGTTGATGATGGTCAAGAAGAAATACGGCTACCAAGTAATTTATTACCTTTTAACTACTAACAAGATTGGAGTTGACATCTTGAAGTAAATAAAACAGGAAATGACTAAAAATCACATCAAACATACGAGTTACGTGAGGTGACAGCCCAGAAACTATTATACACTGATAGTGCTTGGATTCAAATGCTAGACAAACTTAATTACCACATTAAAATACCCAGCTACTTAATCGAGTTACACAAATATCGAATTTATTTAAAACTAAAAGCGCATCGACTTTAGAATGGACCTACAGTAGACTGAGCTGACACAGCCCATGGATTAGTTGAATTCAATGGAATCGAAGCAGTTAGTTGATGATTAGTACTAACTTGACCTATTATTTGATTCAAAGAAGGTGATTGATGAATATTTGAAACTCTTGACATTTGTTGATTAGATACCGTTGAAACTTGAACACATGGCATAGTTCCAGACCAATTGATTGCAGATAAACTCCCATCAGGAGCACGATAAATACGACCAGCTTGTGTGGATGAATAACTATCACAAATAGACAAATTTCCAGCTATTTGAGCAATTTTATCATCTAGTGAAATTAATGATTTTGACGGAACAGTATTTGCTGTACAAAAAAACAAAAACAAATATAAGGTGTTTGTTTATGTAAGCAGACGGAGGCAGTAAAATTGGGTGCAATGATGATTACGTAATGCTGAGGGTATGAAATCGAGTGTAAATTTGCACGATTAAATAAGGTGAAGTGAAGGTAAAGTGAATCAAAAGCATGACAAATTAGATGCTTAAACCAAAAGGTTAAGAATATTTTCAACGGTGCACACACGCAAAAAACATCATTCAAAAATCTTATAGTCATGTATGAAACCAGTGAGTTAAAATTTCATTGTTTAGATCAACGCTAAGAGGCATAATTTAACGAATGTAACTAAAATAGGGAGAATGATCAAAGAGGACGAAAAGCGAATGTGCAGCGCTTTAACCGGGTTGGTGGACACGGAGGGTCCACCGAAGGGAATTGGAAAACCGTGATTCCAAACCAATGGTGTACATAGGCTCCAGTATCTTGAGGAAACAAATGGCGTATGAATCAATCGTTGGTCACTGGCTACCATAGGACTGCATCTCTTTACGATGCTCCACTGCCTTGTGGATCAGATCTATGGGTCAAAAGCTCCGGGTGCGGCCCCCCCCTAATAAAACCAGCTGCTTCTGTTTGGGCACTTGGGCAGTGTCACAGCCCTCACACAAATCAAATGACATTTGTGTGGCGCATATATATATATATATATATTGATTAATCAGCATTCTGCAACAACTAATTAACGATATAAACATTTTATGAATAACAAAAACGATGGAAAGATATCTAATTCTAGATCAGAAGGGGTTTTTGTGGAAATTTCAGTATTTTCATAGTTTCCGGCGCGAGACTGGTAGGTCCTGGGTTCGAATCTCACGAGGCGGGATCGTGGATGCGGATTGCCACTGAGGAGTCCCGAAATAGGACGAAACGGCCGTCCAATGCTCCCAGGTTTTCCATGTAGGTCTACCTTCAATTGAATCATGATTTCCACTATGAAAATATTGAAATTTCCACAAGTCCCCCTTCTGATCTATAATCATATGCTCACTGGTGACTGACTTCAAGAAACATGTTCTAGAATTCTAGTGAGAAGCAGTAGTGACCAGTGGAGTTCAACCAGGTCTGTTGTAGAGATATCAACTCACTGAAGACAATTGGCGAACGGTTGCTTAAACATCGTGGATTGGCTGAAGTCAGACATTAACACCGTTGGACAACGTAACATTGGGAACAGAAACTATTCTGGCTTGAATACTCTACACGTAGAAAATGTTTAAATTATTAAGTGTAGGGAGTTTGTGGAGAATAGGTGAATTTTCATGGTTGTATAGCATGGACTAACCTTGGTTAGACAAATATTGAAAGCTAGCTGTTTTGTCCTAATATGGGAATACTCTTCAGTAGTATGCATCTCCAATCTCACTAACGACCGAACACAGGATCTTCAGGCCCTATCGGACCACTGAGCTACCGTCCAATAGTTTACATATTAAACTTTAATCAATTCATGGCTTAGAGTGAATCCAGTTACTATAATACATTTTCGGCCATTCAACCTGATGTATCAAAATTTATGTGTTCGTTAAAATAATCTAATCAATACCCAAAATGTACTAAGTGATCAGTCAGTTTTAAATTTCTCAGTTGCCACAGGAGGCCAGTATCTGGTAGAACAATTTAGTATTAACATTTTAAACAGTGAATTTTGGTGACCTATGTTAGAATTCCACATGGAGATTGAAGGTTCGCATGTTGATGAGTGTCAACTAGTTTGAAAACCAAGTTAAGAGGAAATCCGACTTGTGCTAGTTTAAATACTACTGCTAACAGGATCGAAAATAGTTTAAATACAGAGCATTTCTAATAGGGATTATTTAAACGTGTTCATATGAGGTAAATCAAATTGGTCAGAATTGTTAACACATAAACTTATAGGCAGAGATAGACTGGGTCAACCAGACATATCAGTTCAAGGTCAAATGATAGATGGAAGATATTGACAAGCACATGCGACTATTGGTCAAGGTTTGACCTGATTGATTATCCAAGGGAAAGAAACATGTTTTTTAAATGAGTTCGTGCACATATTTTTATTCGGGTTCGTCAATAAAAGTCTCCTAATCATCCCCATTTTTTCTACTCAAATAGCAGAATGGACTTTTACCATAGGTAGCGTTTACATCGTTACCGGTTTGGAGGGGGGGGGGGCGACCACCCAACAAAGCAAAGTAACATGAATAGAAAAAGATTAAGTGTAAAAATGAAATTTATCTGTTAGTTTGTTTATTCATGTTAGACATAATCTGTTTTATCGATCTTCACAATGTATGTAAACAAAAAATGATATTTTTGTAAACATATCAATAATATAGAGTTGAGATCATGAGTCAATTGAAGCTAGACTACCATGGAAAACCTGGAAGCACTGGACGGCCGTTTCGTCCTATTATGGGACTCCTCAGCAGTGCGCGTCCACGAACCCACTCTCGCGGGATTCGAACCCAGGACCTACCAGTTTCGAGCCGAAGCCCTTAACTGATAAACGGTTGGAGCTAGACATAAACACTATCGGATGTCGGCTCAGTGGTCTAGAGATTAAGTGCTCTCGCGCGAGACTGGTAGGTCCTGGGTTTGGATCTCGTGGATGCGCACTGCTGAGGAGTCCCATAATAAGACGAAACGGCCATTCAATGCTTCCAGGTCTCCCCTGGTGGTCTAGCTTCAACTGACTCACGCCTTCAACTATGAAAATACTAAATCTCCACAAAAAACATCTTCTGATAATATGAATAATAAGCCATTAATTGGGTCATACCGTTTTAATTTCTACTAGGAAAGTTGTTTTAATCGATATGAGGTTATTAGGATAGTTAAATGAAATCGAAATGAAAAACAGACCAAAGTTACAAAACCTGAAAGGACTGGGTGGTCATTTCTTCCTATTATGAGACTCGTCAGTAGCGTGCATGCATGACCCTGTACACGGGAATCAGACCTAGTCGCAGGAAAGTACCCACCGAAGATGATGGTTGTTTAATGTGGTGGACCGATTGAAGTACACTGTTGGATGCTTTCTCAGTTGTCTAAATTTTAAGTGTTAGCGCGTGAGATCGAAAGTTTCGTGTCCAATTTACGACTGCGGACTCGTGGATAGTACTACTGAGAAGTTCCATACTGGGATGTGAGGGCTAATGCCTCCAGGTTTTTAGTGATGATCCAACTTGATCATTTTGTGGTTTCAATGGAACTATTTTACTGTTTAGAGTTTTACCGTTTAAGATCGGTTAAATTAGAAGATAGGCAAAAAAGTAGAAATAATTAGGTTGAAAACTGCATGAAAGTATCAACCGAAGAGTTTATGTCAATGTGTTAATAGTATGTATCATTATTAAAGTAGTTTCGATTATGAAAGCTGATAAACCTTCTGAATGAACACTTGAATAAGTTCGCTAAGCTCTTCTATTAACCCTAGGCTAACTCTACGTCACAACTTGAACGCGAGAGAAAAGGCGCTTTACTCCAAGTTTCGTTTATGTACAGAGAATCGAGGGTATTTATAGCATTTCAGATAGTTGTGGGCTTCTGAAACTCTACTAAATATAGTAGTAGGATACCTAATCATCCGATCAGAAATATGACACGTGAGTCTTCATTTTCTAGATGTTTCTGAGAAACTTGAGTTTAATGGTGATTGGGTAAAATGTTTCCTAGAGTTTTCAGGACCCTTCTGGGTTTTTTCCAAAAAATATTTTGGATCTCTCCAACAAAAACAAAACACCTTGTTGGTATATCAATATACTAACAAAAGTATATATTTGTGTGGGCTGACTTTAGTTAGACAACCATTGAAAATTAGCAAGCACTGGATACGTTTCTTTTTGATATAGGATTCTTCAGTGGTGCGCATCTATGACTCCATTAGGGATCAAAGTCAGGACTTCAAGACTATTTATAGTTAGTATTATATCATTCACATTTCTCACTTTAGTTAGTTTTCAATATTGTAGGACCAATGTGAATTTCTGTTGGTTATATTTGTCTCATACCTGACATGTTTGAACTGCACTAATCACAGCTTCCTACAAGAAATCTACGAGGTCTGAAGATGTTGATTTTTACCACCAATAGAATCATAGATGTCCTGGTATTAGAACAAGACGGCGGTCTTATGATTCCTGATTTTCAATGGTTATCCGACTCAATTCAGTTCTCATGATGTGAAACTTTAAATTAAACAATCAAAACTATACCATAGAATAAAAATCAGTTTTATTGATTTTGCTCCTTGAAAAAACTAATTCGAGTGTACAAATTTGAATGAAAATAGATTACTTATGAAAAGTAGTAAATCACCAGAAATGTTATACATAATAATACTTCATTAGATAAGGTGATGTTATAAAGAGAGTTAATACACACACGTAATTTTATTGCAATTAACTGTAAATTATCATCGTTATTATTGATCAGTAACAGCGTTTTATGGGAGAGGACAAACCAGCTTCCAAATGAAGAGGAAATTAGGAAAAGATAGTGGAAGTGGATAGGACATACATTAAGGAAATCACCGAACTGCATTACGAGGCAAGCCCTAACTTGGAATCCGGAAGGAAAGCGGAAAAGAGCAAGACCAAAGAATACATTGAGCTGAGAAATAGAAGCAGATATGAAAGGGATGAATAACAATTGGGAGGAACTGGAAAGGATTACCCAGGACAGAGTTGGATGGAGAATGCTTGTAACCAATGCTCCTCCATGACGGGTAACAGTTGTAAGTAATTATTGATGTGTAATAAATTTGTGAGTACAGTCAAGACTTTATTAGTTGGAGATTAACATGAAATTTCTAAACAGCAATTGTTGTTGTTGTTGACTTAATGTCGTGACAACATCGTCACTGTAGATGTATAAATATCACAAGTGCATTACTTAGACAAAGAATAAATCTTAAGAATGGAGGTTTTTGAAGATTGTAATGATTTTAATAGTTGAATTCATGGGTCGATCTAAGATAGACCACCATTAAAAATCTGGAAGTACTGGATGACCGTTTCATTATGGTATAGGACTCCTCAGGAGTGCACATACATGATCCCGCATGCGGAGCTCGAACCTCTTAAATTGAAAAAGGTTCATATTTGTCATCTGGATTTAATGGAACACTGGGTATTTTTTAAATAACAGAATGTACCCGTTTGGGGTTTCAGTGTAAAACTCAACACAAGAATGCAAGTACATTCACAGCCGACGAGTCATCCTAAATAGAATGAAATACTAGTCCCATATTTCATTACTGGTCACTGACCAACTTGAAAAACTGTAATTACTTTCTGAATTTATTATGAACTGTAAAATAATCACCCGATTTAAGCAAACAAACAACAATTAAGGCAGAGAACTAACCCACTAAAACAACAATTTAATCACCAACACAAATAAACAGTTAATCATAGTTGAAAGCGTGAGTTAATTGAAGCTAGACGACCAGGGAAAATCTGGAAGCACTGGACAGCCGTTTCGTCCTATTATGGGACTCTTTAGCAGTGCACATCCACGACCTCACCTCATGAGATTCAAAGCCAGGACCTACCAGATTCGTGCCAGAGCACTTAACCGATAGACCACTGAGCCGAAATCGGATGGTGTATATGTCTAACTCCAACCAATCCATGAATTTGAACAACCGTTCACCAATTGTGAATGTGGATACGCACTGCTGAGGAGTCCCACAATAAGACGAAACGGCCGTCCAGTGCTAACAGGTTTTCTCTAGTGGTCTAGCTTCAATTGACTCATGATTTCAACTACATAAAATTACTAAAATCTCCACAAAACCCCCTTCTGATATTTCTGAATAACTCAATTTTATATTGTAGTAAACTGTTTATTTGACTGATATAGAGAACATTAAGCCTAGTTTAAAATCTATACAATCAAATGTCATACATAATGAAAGTTAATCACAATTATCTAATATGAACATTCAGTAAGGATATTTGTCTATTTATCATATGATCCAGTGATAACGATAGATAATAAATACAAATGCAGAATTTACATTATTTAGTTAATTTAATGAATAACTACAAATCTGTGTACATGGATTTATTTGTATTATAAAGGTGAAGGGCGGAGATTATAGTCAATAATTAACTAGGAACATAGCCTATAGATGTACATATACGCATATACACACATATACACACTTCAAGTTTGCATTTATGTTTTAATAATGAATTTGTATGTTGAAAAACACGGCTAAGCAAAACTGTTTTATGTACTCATATTTAATTATTCTATTTAAAGCTAACAGTACAAATTATAAGTCAGTCAGTCAGTTACAACGTACGACTAGGCACATATATGCATCGGTTCAGTTGCCATATCTCGTTAGCACAACAAGATCAATACCGAATTCATAGAAGTAGTTAACTTAGTGGTGGTAGTATATAAAAGAAGGATATAGTATAGGTAGGTAAAAAGTTATTAGGCAATTTTAATCTCAAGGTTTAAGGAAAGATAAAGAGTGTATACACCTACGCCATTGTGATCGATTCTGAGTCATGTCACACAGAGTCTCCAATCATTGGTTACGATAGTCACGCGAACCCCAATCAAGTAGTCTGCATCTGTCAACATGGCTCAGACTAGAAGTTAGTGACTTTAAACACTAATGTCACGTTTTGGTTTGGCCATCTCTAACTCTCTACCAACCATTGACAATACTAGTCAACATAGCATAGACTTAGGACTAAATATATTTACTGATTGGAGAGAAAAATTGATATAAATCTGATTACATGAAAGAAAAGAACCAAAAGTGAACATTACATAAGTAGATCAATCAACAAATAAGGGGTAAAATCGAGAAAAACACAAAATGAAATTCATTCGAAAAGTAGACTGATCTAAGAGGTTGATTTGCATCTACGATCGTGAACGCGGGAATTAAACTCGTAGGGTGTGAGACAGTTATTCACCCCAGGAAATAGATGAAAGGTTGCGCAATATCACGGATTGATTGTTAGACATTAAAACCGTTGAATCCCATATTAGGATGAAGAGGTCGTCTAATGCTTTCAGTTTTTCAATAGTGATCGAACTAAGATCAATTCGTGATTTAAGCCGTGAAAATTCTATAATAATCAATTGATCACACAGTGAATTATGTTAAATCTAAAGGTACTGCGTATTCAATCAAACCTCATTAGGCGGATAAACTAAACTCGAACCTATGATTCATGAGTTAAACATCGGCGGCCTAAACTGGCATAATGGGGAGAACAGTGTGGAAGTATAACTTCTGAAACTATCATAGAAAGCATTATTATTTGTGCTTAGATTGCATAGTTAGTAGACAAATCGTTACAACTCGTTAATTGTGCAGCTGTATAAACAGACAATTCTAGTATGTTAATGTATGAGTTTTGAGTCATGATTTAATTGAGTACTATAAAGAACTAATCTGCTCTCTATTTAGTCTTCAGACTATTCACTTTGTTGGAATGAACTCGAGGATCAGTAAGTGTTAAGCTCTTGATTCTTGTTCATTGGCTAATTTGTCAATTGAAAAATACGTCACCGGTCCTATTAGCTGTATTAGTGAACTAATCGGACTAGGGAGAGGGAGACCACATAACTGCTTTCCTGCCATTACCATCTGATGAAACGGAACCCAATACAACTCAAATAATCTGTTTTTTCTCGACATAACAAAACTTTGGACAGATATATATATGAAAACAATAGTCATGTATGTCAAACTCACAATTAGGCTGCATTTGTGGAGATGTGGAAATTGGATTAGCAGGAACTGACTGATTCGATGTGAAATCTTTGGATGTAATCGATAGCTGAGGATAAGTATTGGATAAAAATGGATTTGTAGAGTGTAACTGACCAGGAGACATCATCACAGGAACTAGAGTTGAAGTTGATTGAGCAGAGAGAAGTAAGGGTGGATTTCTATTCGATCCAAATGGTGATGAATTAGTTGAAACATCATTGAAATCTATAACAAATAAAAATAATAACGAAATTACGAGAAAATTAAACGGCTGACAATACACACATTTGTATCTTTTGAAACATGAGGGAAAGTAGAACACAGTTCTACCTGGAGATAGACATAGTCTTCCTCTAACTTAAAATTGGACACTCTAGAAAACATTACAAATCAGAGGAAAGTAATAGCCCACAAGACATAACACATATTAGGGTTAGCACAAAGTTACTGTGATAGATTGTGAATGATGGAAATATCTTAGCTTATTGGTTACCGATTACCATAGGACTGCATCTCTAAACGTAGCCTCGTTGTTTTATGGACTAGGCCTCTAGGTCAAAGAGACGGAGTGGCCCGCTAAGAAAATCAGCTACTTCAATTTGGGCACCCGGACAGTGTACTAATATACACACAAATTGAATGATAACTACTTTGTGTAGAACATACATATATTGGTGCTCATTTGTGACGTAGTTGGTTTTATGCTTTAATTTTCCGCCAATCTTTTTCTCTTGGCATCTTGATGTGGTGTGTATAGCAGATTGGATTGGTTCAGATTGTGATGCTTATACTATAGAAATGAACTTTAAAGATGAAAGATAATATCAGAAATTCATAGGAAGTCAATTACAAATGGATTCAGTGCAGTTATGACTAAACTATCCGGTTCACAAAACAAAACACCTCTTGAATCCTTCTTTTCCTACTGAGCTATGAACATCGTTTTCATTTCAATAACATATGCATCTCTCCATTCATTAATATTTTTTTGTATTTCTAATCACTTCTTCGATGGCATTTAAATATCTTTTCTCTTTGACTGGATGGAATGTTGAAACTTATCGCTTTATTTATTTTATCAAACAGATAATAATTTCCGAATGGAGGTTTGTGGAGATTGTAATAATTTTAATAGTTAAATGCGTTGGTCGATCTAAGCTAGATCACCATTGAAAACTCCTTAGCCGTGTGTAAGCACGTGTATGTATGGCACGTGGGACTCCGACCGAGGACATTCGATCTCGCGCGTGAACGCTTAACCTCTAGACAACTAGGCCGTCATTCAACGGCGTTAATGTCTAACGTCAATCGATCCATGATCTTGCGCAACCATTCATCCATTGGTCTGAGGTAGATACCTGTCTCTACTCAATATGGATTGGACTCTACTCGTTACAGCTTCTCACAAGAACTCCAGGAAATCCACCTTGAAGTCAGTCACTAGTGAACACATGATAATTATTATCGGGATGAGGGTTTATCGAGATCGTAATAGATTTAATAGTCGAATCCATGGATCGATCTAAGCTAGACCACAACTGAAAACCTGGAAGCATCGGATGCGTACTGCCAAAGAGTCCCATACTAGGACGGAACAGCGGTCCAATACTTCTAGGTTTTCAGTGGTGGTCTAGCTTAGATCAACTCACGAATTCAACTATTAATATAATCTTATAAATAACCAACCAAGTAGATTCTGTTCCGATGTTAATGTAGAATTCTGTCCAGTAGGCGATGACATCGTTGATGATAACCAATTCGATTTATTATATACATCAGTTGTAGATAATTCACCAAATGATAATAAATCAAGAAAATTATCATTATCCGATTTCATTGAATAATAATTTTGATTCGATTCATTCATAATCGAGTTATTTTGATGATCGGAAAATTTATGCTGTCTTGCAGTAGATACAAATGATTCTAAACGTGCACGTTCTTCTTCAATTATTCTTTGACGTTCTGCAGCAGTTAATATAAATTTTTCTGATCCAGTGGAATAGTTCGGTTCAAAGTCATCAGTTCTTAATGAATTATTATTATTGGATATGGATGGATTTGTTGTTGACTGTGATTTTGGAGATATATTGCTGGTAATTTTTCTGTGAATCAAAGGAAAATTGAAAGAAATGATAGATGAACACTATGGTTTTATTAGTAACAGTTTGCATTTAATAATTGTGAATTGATATATAAGACTGCGCCCTCAAATGTCCTGGTACGGCTGAGAGTGGGGAGAGTCCACTCTCCCTCTCCAAATGCTATATACGCGTGACCATCCTAAGATGGTCACGCGTATATAGCCACTACCAGGGAAGTCCTACTCACTGCATTCTCGTGGCATTAGTGTTGTTTAAGAAATTGAGAGGAAGAAAAGCGAATGTCCGACGCTTTAACCGGGTTGGTGGACACGGAGAGTCCATCTAGGGGAGTTGGAAAACCCTGATTCCAAAACAATGGTGCACATGGGCTGGCTCCAGTACCGTGAGGGAACAAATGGCGTATAAACCAATTGTTGGTCACCGGCTACCATGGAACTGCATCTCCTTACGATGCTCCACTACCTTGTGGACCAGATCTTCAGGTCGGAGGCTGCGGGTGTGGTCCCCTAAGAAAACTACCTGTTTCGGTTTGGGCACCTGGGCAGTATCACAGCTCTCACACAAATCAAATGAGATTTGTGCGGAGCATATATATCTGGTTCCCGTTTGTACCAATATTTATGTGTTTAGATAAATTAAAATAAATAAAAATTTAAGACTGCAAATGATCACTCTCTTCTGCTAAGAGAAATCCCTTTATGAAGCATTTCCAAGAATTATAATAGTTGGACTGAGGTTATCTGAACTCAACAGCTCAATATATGATGCATTGAGTGTTTAAAGCTGTAAGAATTAGGTTCAAAATTTCAGTGTAAACGTTAACACTTAAATGAAGGTAAATTCACTCGCTGAGTTCTATATAAGATGAGGCATAGATTTTGGATTCCTCTGCAAAGTCCCTACTCAGTTAGTCAGTCAGCTACAACGTAGGGCTAGGCACATATATACATCGGTTCAAGTTACCTCATTAGCACAACAAGATGAACACCAAATTCATAGAAGTAGTTAATTTCATGGTAGTGATATATAAAAGAAAGATTGTACATAAGGATATATTCAAATATGGTCATCAGAGTAAGAGAGCTTTCAAATGGGAAAGACAAGTTCATTGTATATGAATTCAGTAGTAGCTACTAGACGAATTTGATGTGCGCATCTCACTGAATTTGCAACGTAGTAATCCCATTAGGTAAAACAATAAGCATCAAGGTGAAAAGGAGAGACTAGAAGTTCTGAATAAACCAACGAGATTTAAGATAGCGAGTCTTGGATTTTGGCACGAAATCCATTTATCCATATGGCTAAATAGCATTTTGCTATCATAACTGATGTAGGTTCCTAACCTTAACGTGCAACTATAAATCCTAATCATGATTCCTCATACTAATTTATAACCATCTTTAAACCATGGTAAGTAGTTGGATATTCTCAAGATCACCTTAGTATCGCTGAGAGATAGTTCATAAATTATAGTCTGACTGATACCACTACGATCCAATAATTCAGGTTTCCTTAATGAAAACAGATAATTACAAGCAAGCAGTGGCCAATCAAGTCCGGAAAAAAAGTAAACAGAAGTTAAAGTGCATTCAATAAACAGTCAGTCAGTCACAACGTAGAACTTCGTACGTACGTACATCAGTTCAAGTTGCCATGCCACATTAGCATAGAGATGCAGTTGTCGATTCAAATCTCATAGTGGTAGAAGTAATAAGAGCATAAGCAGTAATCCGAAAGATCAGGCTTTGAAGATGTTATTCAAGGAGTATAATCCAGTAAAATAAATTTGGAAAGACAAAAAGATAGAGACATGAAGAATTCGGATGATTAGAATTTGGTAGAACACAAAGAGTGGATGCACCTTCGCCATTGTAAACGATTTTGAGCCATATCATTCAAGGTCTCTAACCATCGGTCGCTATCATGTTGCTCAATAAACAGTAATAAATAGCCATTACAAAATATATCTTATGCAGTGTGAATGTGCTCTTAATTTCTGAATTTGCGCAATGATTTTATGAAATATGTATCTTGACTTACTTATTGGAAGACAATACTTTTATACAAGCATAATACTTGGCTTTCAACATTGAAAAATGTAGTGGTCAACTACTCACTATGTATCGAATTCGGGATGTTCACTTATGATGAAAAACGTTTTACCATTGATACTCTGGAGACGACATGCTATAAAATTTGAAAGCCCATAGTTTGCGTTTATGTTGCATTGTAAAAAACTTTTATTAAACACATAAATATTGGTACAAACGGGAACCAGATATATATGCTCCGCACAAATCTCATTTGATTTGTGTGAGAGCTGTGATACTGCCCAGGTGCCCAAACCGAAACAGGTGGTTTTCTTAGGGGACCACACCCGCAGCCTCCGACCTGAAGATCTGGTCCACAAGGTAGTGGAGCATCGTAAGGAGATGCAGTTCCATGGTAGCCGGTGACCAACAATTGGTTTATACGCCATTTGTTCCCTCACGGTACTGGAGCCAGCCCATGTGCACCATTGTTTTGGAATCAAGGTTTTCCAACTCCCCTAGATGGACTCTCCGTGTCCACCAACCCGGTTAAAGCGCTGGACATTCGCTTTCGACCTCTCAAACAAATAAATATTAGTAGGGGAATCACGCATATTGGAAAAGTAGTATCCAAAAGTAGTCTTGGTGTTAGGGACGAAAATTACCTCATATAAATGATGAAAAATCTACTTGGATATACACACTTATTGATCACTGAGTAATTATTGTTTATTTGAACATATAAATATTGGTACAAAGGGGTACCAGATATATATGCGCCATACAAATCTCATTTGATTTGTGTGAGGGCTGTGATACTGCCCGGGTACCCAAATCGAAGCAGTAACCAACGTCATAATTGTTTGATGCTGATCGAGTTTGGTCGATTAGGCGGTTGTGTGATTATCCACAATTAATATCTCAGATCTGGGTCCTACAAAGGACGATGATGATATGATGTGTACAAAGAATAAGGGAAGTATTTTACTAAATATGTCTTACCGAATACATAGTTTACATAATCCAACAGCATATCAAATTAATGGCATATTGTGAGAAAAATTTATTAAAGTAAACACTTACTTTTCAGCTTGTTTATGACCTTCCAAGTATGTTAAATGTTCTTCAAGGGCTTCTAAAACTGATGGAGGGACCTGTTGATTGACACAATACATTTCAGTCAGTCAGATACAACATAGGACCAGGCACATATATGTACATATATACATTTCAAACTATTAGAATATACATTTTAAACAAAATGTTAAACTGGACAAATTAGAAGGAAAAAATTATGTGAATTGTATTATTTTGGACAAGAAATCCATATTCTCAGGGTAGGTTTAATGTGAGAATAAATTGGTTTTGAAAACACTAAAGGGGGGTTTGAATCCACATATGATATCTAAGGCTTCAATAAACCCTAGTATTTTCTCCTGGAGACTATCACACGATACCAAACAAAGTTGATGCCGGTCTCAACTCAACGTTTAAAAATGGACGAAGATGTTGACTTGTCCAACATTGTAACTCGCTGGTTATTTTAACCATTTAGGTATGTGTATTTGATAATCGTTACATGAAAACCACAACTGCTCCTTTCAAAATATATCCACATATACGTACAGATTAATAAACACAATGAGATGTAACACACTTTTTGCATGGTGTTTGGGTTTTGGTAATGGATAGACTTTGACTTTTCAAAGCTGAGATGAGCTGCAAAATACGTCTTACTGACCGCTAATTTAAAATTTCGCTTCAACACGAGACTATTTGAGCTGCGTATGAATGACAGAGTAATATGAAGACACGTGTGATTAGCGGTTGGAGACTTTGGGAGACATGGTTCAGGGTTATTCACGATATCACAGATGCATTCACTTTTTATCTTCCTCTGGATCTTGAATCCTAGTACACCTTAGTACGTACCTTCCCATTCTGTCTTTTCGAACTATATTCTAGATATTCAATTGTTTTCTTCATCATTATTAAAACATTATTTTGATCTCTTTTTTAATTTGTCTTGGCGTGGCTTATACGATAAGGCAACTTGAACCAACGCATATCTGCCCCTAGTTCTACGTTAATAGTGCCTGACGGACTGACATGAAGATAAAAAAAATAATGTGGAATTTGGTAATTGGAATAATGAACTCTCCTTCAGGAAGAATCATTCCTTAATTTCTTTCAGGACAAGAATGATACCAAAATAACTGAAATGAGGAAGTTATAATTTTGTTTAAACATTTTTCGTCTAACAATATTGCAGTTATCATATCACCGTATTTAGCTACTACTAAAATTGATAGTAGTATAAAAATAAATCACACAATAACTAAGTAGATACTATTCGAGGGCAAGTGTGGCGGTTATGATCAAGCGCTAATTAACTTGTTTATTCTACATTACAAAAAATATTTCATTCACACTTACTGGCTTGAAAGGGTTATTTTCTGAATCAATTGATAAGGGTGTACCTCCAGGTTCAGCAGACTGAAGCAAAAAAAAGATCGAATAAGTTTATATCGATTTACAGTATTTTAATAAGAGGAAAGTATTCATGTGAACAACTGTAAAAATATAGAGTAGGATATTTCATTAAAGTGACAAAGAGTTTCCTTGATTCCACTGCTAGTCACTATCCATCTTTGCTTACAATGCTTGTGAATTAAGGCTTTATCGAGGCAATACGCACATATGCCAATTAGAGACTGACCAGTTGCAGTCCTAACACATCGATAGGAAGATTCAAACAAACAATACTAAATGAATTTAAACTTCACCCCATTACACAAGAAAGTGGCTATAAGAACTCAGAGGCCGAGTGGATAACGTGATGGCGTTTAGAGTGAAAGGTACTGGGTTCGAGTGCCCGAGTGAACATCAACTCTGAGATGCAGGTACATCCAGCTAACGAGTCCCAAATAGGACGAAACGCACGTCCTGGGTTCCACTGCTAGTCACTATCCATCTTTGCTTACAATGCTTGTAATATTTGTTGTAGCACAACAAAACAGGAACAAGAGAATGGTATAATTAGTAGATAACTGTATAGTTGTAGTTCTATATTAACCTTATAGTAAGCTTTCAGTGAACCTATTAACTGTTGTTATACATTTCAATATCCCTTAATCATTGCCAATCAATTAAGTACCATTTGCTCTACCCTCTATCATTTATAGTATGATTGTATCCTAAAGTATGACTTCTTATTAAGTGGTATACTGTGTGGTTAGGTATTTCAAGTAAACTATTGTATGAGTTTCGAGTAATGATTGAATTGAGTACAATAAAGAACTAATCTGCTTTCTCTGCATCTACATTTGATTAACTATTGAATAAGAAGTAACTCAAAGATCGATAAGCGTTGGTTAGTCAGTGTGTCAATCGGTAAATAGATCTTATTTTCATAGTTGAAATCATGAGTCAATTGAAGCAAGACCACCATGAAAAACCTGGAAGCACTGGACGGCCGTTTCGTCCTATTATGGGACTCACTATCATATGCTCACTAGTGACTGACTTCAAGAGATATTTCCTTGAGTTCTAGTGAGAAGCAGTGGCCAGTGGAGTTCAACGAAGTCTGTTGTAGAGATATCAACTCACTGAAGACAATTGGTGAACGGTTGCTTAAACATCGTGGATTGGTTAGAGTTAGACATTAACACCGTTGGATGCCGGCTCAGTGGTCTATCACTTAAGTGCTCTGGCGCGACACTGGTAGGCCCTGGATTCGAATCTCGCGAGGCGAGGTCGTGGATGCGCACTGCTGAGGAGTCCCACAATAAGACGAAACGGCCGTCCAGTGCTTTCAGGTTTTCCATGGTGGCCTAGCTTTAATTGACTCATGATTTCAACTATGAAAATACTAAATTCTCCACAAAACCCCCTTCTGATCTAAAAATAGATCTTAAACGAAAGTTTGATTGGTGAATAGTCTAACAGCACATGATATTGATCAAAATCTCAAATTAGCGATCACAAGACACTTATCATTCAAAATAAAATGAAATACACACACAAAAAGAACAACAATGAATTACCTCAGCAACTTTTACAAATGTATTCATAGATTCCATACGTTTAAGAAAATTCTTATAAATCTCTAATGATACCCGACAATCTCGTTTGGACATAGTGAAATATCGACCTATGTGCAGAATTAATTAAATAAGATGAAAGGGGGGGGGATGATTGTTTTTTACACACAAACAAAAACAAACAAAATTAGAATATCATTATTCAATAAGAAAAATATAGTCAAGGCTTGGGGAACGGTAGTATCATGTTTTTTTTAGAAAACGTATACGTAATGAAGCAGGATAAGTATTGTTTAGATTAATCCAGGAATGATAATGACATTAATGGCTGAATGTTATGCTGAAAATTCCTTGAGTACAGTGATGTTAAGTCTGTCATCAAGTATTTACTTAGGATTCGTCTTATTGATTATTAATTATCAGAAGGAGTTTTGTGGAGACTTCAGGATTTTCATAGTTGAAAGCGTGAGTCAATTGAAGCTAGACCACCAGGGTAAACCTGGAAGCACTGTACGACCGCTTCGTCCTATTATGGGACTCCTCAGCAGTGCGCATACACGAGATTCAAACCCAGGACCTGCCAGTCTCGAGCCAGAGCCCTTAACCGATAGACCACTGAGCCGGCATCCGACGGTGTTAGTGTCTAACTTCAATTGATCCACGAAGTTGAGCAACCGTTCACCAATTGTCTTCAGTGAGTTCCTATCTCACAACAGACGTGATTTTCCATGATGGACTAGCTTCAATTGACTTACGCTTTCAATTATTGATTATTATTATTCATGGCTTTATTTAATATTATGATTTTGGTGCAATATACAATTTTCAGCACAAAGTATTTCAGCAGGTTTTCTTTTCTTATGGCATGATCGATTGTGACGATAAATATTGAAATCCTGTAGTGTTACTGAGTAATTGTCTTGTAAATCATTTAACTAGGATTCTTGAGTTGCGATTACACCATAATTACAATACATGTATAGAATTAGTAGGAATTAAAGACAGCCGATCAGTGATCATTAGTTAGATGTAAGCCACCAAATGCCCTGGTACGGCTGAGAGTGAGAATGACTCGCCCTCTCTCTCGAAATGCTCTCATATGGCCACGAGTATACAGCCTCTGTCAGGGAAGTCCTACTTACTGCCTTCTCGTGACATTACTGTTGTTTACGAAATTGAGAGGACGAAAAGCGAATGTTCAAGGCTTTAAAAGGGTTGGTGGACACGGAAAGTTCACCTAGGAGATTTGGAAAACCCTCATTCCATATTAATGGTGCACATGGGCTCCACGATCCTGAGGGAAGAAATGGCGTATGAATCAATCGTTGATCACCGGCTACCATGGGAATGCATCTCCTCATGATGCACCACTGCCTTGTGGATCAGACAATCAGGTCGAAGGCTCCGGGTGTGGTCCCTTAAGAAAACCAGATGCTTAGGTCTGGGCACTCGGGTAGTATCATAGCCCTCACACAATTAAATGAAATGACAATTTTTTGTGTGGCACATATAAATCTGGTGCCCTCTTGTACCAATATTTGTGCGTTCAAATAAATAAATAAAGACGTAAGCAGTTCAGTAATCGACATCTACATAATATTCATTCTTTTCAATACATATTGTCAGCTACCACGATGTCTCTGATTGTACTTTTCTGTAACTTGTACAATGAATGGTCGTAAACTCCCCATAAACGTGTCTGATTAACTCATGCTATTAATAGACATAATGATGTGTTAAAACGAACAAACAAAATAGATAACTTGCTTAAATATCTAGATATTCAAGCAGGTCGCCTTCAGACATTTGCTGTAACAAACTTATCAGTAAAATCAGTCAAAAAAAAACAAACAAACAAACGACAAAAGTTTAATAGTGAAATCTGGCTATTAAACACTGTTTTATGACAGATCATAAATATATTGAAATTGGATAATTTTAAGAAAAATGGTAAACAGATTATCTACATTCACTTGGTATTTTTTGTTTGCATCTTCCCCTTGATGTTTAGGACTGAAACTGGTCAGTCTCTAATTGGCCATATATGCATACTGTGCGTATTGCCTCGATATTGCCTTAATTTACAAACATTATAAGAAAAGACTCAGTAGCTGAGTGGATAACGCGATGGCGTTTGAAGCGAAAGGTACTAGGTTTGAGTCCCAGAGTGAACATCAACTCTGAGATGCAGGTACATCCAGTCTCAAATAGGACGAAGTGACGCGCGTGAAACTGGATTCCACTGCTAGCCACTATCCATCTTAGATTATTTACAGTTTTCAGTTCGTTATCAAGATTGTTTTTCTAAAGAGACAACTATGAAACTAACTTGATTTCTTTACTATTACACCAATGTAATGTCACGTTCTCTATTCATAAACTTTCAATCCATTCGGCTTAACATTAGTACAAAATTTGTTTGAACTATAATAATTTCATTAAATTGTACTTTTTTGTCGGTTATGTATTGATTATACGATCTTCCTGTTTTACACTTATCATTATGGTGCAGTATTTAGTGATTTGATTGTGTTGTACCAAAATTATTATTGCTTTTCATGGATAAGTAAATAAATAAAAGTGTTCATATGTGAGACTGAAAGTCTTGGGTTCGATTCCAGAGTTCAAAGCTGTGGATATGCTGACTGACATTATTATTCATTTAAACATAAATATTGGTACAGAGAAGCACCAGTTACATATGCGCCACACAAATCTCATTTGATTTGTATGACGGCTGTGATACTACCCTCGTGCCCAAAAAGAAGCAGGTGGTTTTCTTAGGGGGCCACACCCGGAGCTTTTGACCTAAAAATCTGATCCACAAAGCAGTGGAGCATCGTGAGGAGACGCAGTCCCATGGTAGTCGGTGACCAACGATCGATTTATACGCCATTTGTTCCTACAGGATACTGGAGCCCATGTGCACCATTAGTTTGGAATGAGGGTTTTCCAAATATCCTAGGTGGACTCGCCGTGTCCATCAACCCGGTTCGCTTTTCATCCTCTCAATCTCTTAAACAACAGTAATACCACGAGAAGGCAGTGAGTAGGACTTCCCTGATAGTGGCTATATACGCGTGGCCATGTGAGAGCATTTGGAGAGGGAGAGTGTACTCTCCCCACTCTCGGCCGTACCAGAGCATTTTGGGGGCTCATACTAGGATGAAACGGCCGTCTAAATGCTTTTAGATTTTCAATGGTGATCTATTCATAGTTTCAATAAAACCAAAAGTGTTCACATTAAAATATATAAGGGAATGCGTAAAGATATATATGTATGCCAAGTAAGCTAGTGAGGGAATTTCTATAGGGATTGGTTCATTGAAGTAAAAAGAATATCAATGAATTTGTCTGAATCATTTGTATGGTAACATGGAAAACTGTAGACAGATATAATTTATTTGTAGTAAGAGTGATTAATCACACCCAACTCTATATTCATTAATGAGTTTACTTGCCATAGCAACTACTTCCATCATCAATAAAATGCATGACATTAAAGTGCAAGAAATTTATCAAATGCGAAATTAAAATAAACTCAATTTTACAAGCTTGATTTGTTAATTCGAATCATCAGTCACATAATCGAAGCAGTGATTCAATAATAAAAGTACCTGATTTTCAATCATACTAAATAACAGATTGAAATCTTACTATACATATATTAATTTGATCAATCAGACAGTATTGTGGTGTACACTATTTATGACCTTTTCTAACCTCACACTTCTTTATGGGAAGGCAGCATTGCTGTTATGCTGGTTGTCTGAGGGAAACACCTGACTGTCGTCACACCTCTGTACGGTCAACAGTGTAACTTCGCTTAAACCGAAGTAGATGCAGCAAGATTCTAAACTAAGACCTATTCCTTGAAAGCCGAGCACTTTGATCACTAAGTAAAAGAGATAACAATAGACAAAACAATCCTACTTGTGCTCTTCAATCTGTTCAAATAAAACAATCACTTAAACAAGAAATAAAAAAAATTAAGACAAACAATAAAAAACTTACCAATTAGATTAATCATACCCTCATTATACACAGCGTATAAACGAATTAAATCCCGATAAAGAGATAAATGAGCAACTCGAAGAAGTGAATTCGACAATTCATTGAGTGTAGCCTAAAAGATTATTATGAAGTAATAATAATAATAATGAGAAGGCTTAAAATTCAGAATATATACTACATATACATGACTATACAATATAAATATTAGAGATAGTTCGTACTTACATCGAACGCCCCCAAATGCCCCGGTACGGACGAGAGTGGGAAGAGTCCGCTCTCCCTCTCCAAATGCTCTCACATGGCCACGCGTATATAGCCTCTACCAGGGAAGTCCTACTCACTGCCTTCTCGTGGTATTACTGTTGTTTAAGAAATTGAGAGGACGAAAAGCGAATGTCCGAGGCTTTAAACGGGTTGGTGGACACGGAAAGTTCACATACGGGAGTTGGAAAACCCTCATTCCAAACCAATAGTGTACATGGGCTCCAGTACCGTGAGGGAACAGATGGCATATGAATCAATCGTTGGTGACCGGCTACCATGGGACTGCATTTCCTTACGGTGCTCCACTGCTTTCTGGATCAGATCTTTAGGTCAAAGGCTCGGGGTGTGGTCCCCTAAGAAAACCACCTGTTTCGGTTTGGGCACCTGGGCAGTATCACATCCCTCACACAAATCAAATGAGATTTGTGTGGGGTATATGTATCTGGTGCCCCTTTGTACCAATATTTTATGTGTTTTAATAAATAAATAATAAATACTTACATCGAACATCAGTAGAGCATCTAATTGTTTCTCAATAACTGGTAAAGTTTTCATTAGCTATTAAAATACAATAAAGAAAAGATAAGAAAGATAAGTAGTAACATTGAAATTTACGTCAAAATTATATTTAAAATAATCTTAACGATTGAAACTTGAATAATTCTAATGTTTCGTCCAGCTAACTCTGAAGAAGTCCAGACGAGTAAGCTGGACGAAACGTTGAAATTATTTAAAATTCAATCATTGAGATTACTTCAAATATAATGGCTTCTCTATAATCGGCTAGCGTTTTTTTAACGAGTTGGTTTTCTACGGGATGTGGTCGATAACCATATACCCAACCCTCCTCCTTTACCCGGGCTTGGGACAGGTAGTAGCCCTCCGGGAGGAGCTACAGGCGGAGAAGAGGAAGACCGAATGACACATTACGTCGAGAAACGAAGACAGACATGAGAAAAATGAACAAAAGCTGGGTAGAACTAAAAAGGAAGGCTCAGGACAGAGTGGGTTGGAGAATGCTAGTCGTCGGCCTATGCTCCATTGGGAGTAACAGGCGTAAGTAAGTCTATACTCGGCGCAACTTACATACGTAGTTAGTCAACAATTAGAATAGAGAAATTTCAAACTACTGCCCTCAATATTACTACTATTGTAGTGAACAAAAGCTTAAATACGGTAAACCAATTTATTGCTTTGTGCAGAATCATGCAGTGCCTTCGTAAAATATGAAAATCATGCATTAAATACGTTATTTGCACATCTTCGTTCAGTTGTCCTTTATATATTTCATGATTCTTTTAAATCTGTTAATATTTCGATTGCCATCTGTATTCCTACCTGTTCTTCTCAAATTCAATCTTCTGCTGGAAGGCATTCTCTTCTGATTAGTGCTACATACTAGTTATATCTGTCCACATAAGGGGTGCACACCATACTATGACCATTCATTTACACACAATAGATGCTAAATAACTACAATCAATGTAAATATACAATGATTTATCGCCTTGAGTTTTATACTGCAATTTAACTATATCGACTGTTTTGATAATCCAGAAGGAGACGAGATAAATTACAGAAGAAAAACTACCCAACAAAACTTTGTATGGGTACAAGAAAATGTGAATAAAAGTAAATAGACATTTCGTAGATAGAAAAAAAGTATACTATTGTGAGGATGGTCCACAGGTGAAGTCGAGGAGGCTCTAGGAAGCCAAGGAAGAGCCGCAGACATTTCAGCCAATCACGGCTAGGGGAATGTTCTAGAAATGCCAACGTGGAGCTTCTCCATTGGATGGATTAGTTTGATACCTATGTGCTTATTGGTTGACCTAAATGATAATTTACTTTCAGCCAAAAACTATAAATACACGAGATTTCTGAGCTATATTTTGACACTGTTTGGGGCAATAAACTTCCTGCTTACCAGTCTTTGTCTTCTATGTTTTGCGGGTTCTATCGTTCAAGTAGTCAAGTAGTTCGCGGCATATTAGGAATCAAGGCTCTAGATATAACAACTGGCGACGGGTTAACTTATCAAGATGTCTATTACCTTCGACCAATTTGAAGCTTTTCTAGAGCGCCATGAAAAGCGGTTTGAACAATTCCAGATGCGCATACTCGAAACACTAACCCAGCAGATGAACCTCAATAAGAATGGATTCACAGATGTTTCTGCCAAATCGCATGCTGACTGTATCATTGATTCCATTCACGAATTTCATTTTGATGGTCTGGCTGGTGTAACATTCGAGTCTTGGTACAAGAAATATGAGGATGTTTTTAATGTTGACCTAGAAACTTTTGATGATGCCGCCAAGGTCAGGGTGCTACTACGAAAACTGGGTACCATTGAACATGAACGATATACTAATTACATTCTGCCCAAGAACCTAAGAGACATCTCATTCGAAGAAACAATTAAAATTTTGTCGCAAATTTTTGGTGAACAGTCTTCCCTGTTCAATATTCGCTATCAGTGCTTGAAAATAGTAAAAGCCGGCAATGATGACTGGGTGCAACATGCTAGCATAATAAATCGCGAATGTGAGCGCTTTAAACTATCAGCAATGACAGAAGACCAATTCAAATGTCTTGTTTTCGTATGCAGCTTACAATCTTCAGAAGACGCCGACATTAGAACCAGAATTCTAAGTAAAATTGAACAGTGTCCAAATATCACCCTTCAAGAGGTGACTACTGAATGTCAGCATCTGGTGAACTTGAAGCATGACACTTCAATGGTAGAAAATAATGGTCGACTACCTTATGTACAGGCAGTAAGTGGGAAGCAAAAGCAGAACACAACCATTAAGAAGCCTCCATCCGCATGTTGGTTTTGCGGAGAGCTGCATTACAAAAGGTTCTGCCCATACAAAAACTACCGGTGCACTAGATGTCAGCTCAAAGGACATAAAGAAACATGTTGTAAGAAGAAGATGCACCGTCGTTCATCAAGTGTTCATTTTCGAAGACGTAAAAACTGTTCATCAACCAATAGAATAATGGTAGCACGTACCAGAACAGAACATAATCGAAGAAAGTATGTAACCTTGAATGTTAATAAACGCCGTACTCGACTTCAGCTTGATACAGCTTCTGATATTACTTTAATAAGCCCAGAAACTTGGAGGAAGATTGGGCGACCAACAGTGTATCGAACAACACAACTAGCGCACAGTGCATCTGGCGGAAAGTTAAACATTGTAGGAGAAATACCTTGCATTGTGTCTAAAGGTGCCGTTACGACAAATGCAACCATTTACATTACGAAGAACCCAGGACTAGACTTATTGGGACTAGATCTAATAGAAACACTTAAGCTAGCAGATCATTCTATTAATAGCATCTGCAGACGAGTGACTACTGACAACTCCTCAAGGTGTAACCAGAAAAGTACCGTGCTGCAAAGACATCACAACGTTTTTAAAGAAGAATTGGGAGAATGTACGAAGGCCAAAGCCTTGTTAATCCTCAAACCTGGTGCTACTCCCGTTTTTCGACCCAAAAGACCTGTGCCCTACGCAGCGCTACCGATTGTTGAACAAGAATTAGAACGACTGCAAAAAAGTGGAATTATAGAACTAGTGAACTTTTCTGATTGGGCAGCTCCAATAGTAATTGTTAAAAAGCCTAATGGAAGTATTCGATTATGTGCAGACTACTCCACTGGATTAAATGACGCACTTGAAGCTCATCAGTACCCCTTACCATTACCAGAAGACTTATTTGCGAAACTTAACGGGGGTAAGTATTTTGCAAAACTAGACCTATCAGAAGCATATTTACAGATTCCAGTAGCAGAAGAGTGCAAACATTACTTGACAATAAACACTCATAAAGGGTTGTTTCGATATGATAGACTTCCGTTTGGAGTAAAGACTGCCCTTCAATCTTTCAACAAGTTATGGATACTATGCTACAAGATATTCCTGGTACTGCGGCCTATCTTGACGACATACTAACCATGGGTACAGACTATGCTGACCTGGAGAAGAAGGTAGATATGGTTCTCAGACGCATAGCAGATTTTGGGTTCACATTACGTGCTGAAAAATGTGATTTCTACATGGAACAAGTTCGCTATTTGGGACTCATAATTGATAAAAACGGAAGAAAACCTGATCCTGAAAACGTCGAGGCTATCAAGTCCATGCCTCCACCAACTGATGTGTCAACTTTACGCTCTTTCTTGGGAATGGTTAGTCATTATGGAGTTTTTCTTCCAGAACTGCATTGCCTTCATGCTCCTCTTAATGGGTTGCTGAAAAAAGATACCAAATGGTTCTGGTCATCTGAGTGCCAAGAAGCTTTCGTAAAACTAAAACAGCTCCTGTCATCAAACCTTCTACTCACACTATGATCCAGAGCTTCCCATCATAGTCGCAGCAGATGCGTCCAACTACGGAATCAGCGCAGTGATCGCACATACCTACCCAGACGGGTCTGAGAAGGCAATCGCCCACGCTGCACGGTCGTTAACTATGACAGAAAGAAACTATAGTCAGATAGAAAAAGAGGCCCTCTCTATTATATTCGCAGTAAAGAAGTTCCACAAGATGCTATTTGGCAGACAATTCATCCTACTAACAGACCATAAACCGCTGCTGACAATTTTTGGATCGAAAAAAGGTATACCTGTATATACAGCAAACCGTCTACAGAGATGGGCAACGACACTGCTGGGCTATGATTTCAAGATAAAGTACCAACCAACAACGGATTTTGGACAGGCAGATGCCCTTTCAAGACTAATTAGTTCCCGTACAAAACAAGAAGAGGAGGTGCTCGTGGCTGCCGTAGATGTTGAGGCCGAGGTTCACACAGTATTAACAGACGCAGTTTCCGGACTTCCAGTCACATTCGAAGCTATTAAAGGAGCTAGTGAGAAAGATAACGTGTTGAAGTTTGTTCGCCGCTGTATACTCAACAAGTGGCCTTCGTCTAGACTAAATGGAGAACTCTTGCAATTTTTCCGTCGACGAGACTCATTGACAATTGTAGATTCCTGCATCATGTTTGGCCACCGTATCGTTATCCCCAGAAATCTTCGAAACCAAGTCCTTAAGCAGTTCCACAGCGGACAACCGGGAATAAGTAAAATGAAGTCGTTAGCTCGAAGCTACGCATACTGGCCAGCAATGGACCATGATATAGAGCAAAAATGTCGCAGTTGTTCGTCCTGTTTAGAGGCCGCAAAGAACCCAAATAAAGCTGAACCGCAACCATGGCCAAAACCAGACGGTCCCTGGCAAAGAATACACGCTGATTTTGCCGGCCCAACACAAAGCAGAAATTACTTGGTTGTTGTCGACGCCTTCACGAAATGGCCAGAAGTATACGACATGCCGAAAATGACGTCAGAGAGTGCTATAAGAAAATTGACAGGTTTGTTCGCTTGTTTTGGGGTTCCTGAGATCTTAGTGACTGACAACGGCACCCAGTTCATGTCATCTGTCTTTAAACGGTTTCGCATTGAAAATGGCATATCACATCTACAGTCTCCCCCGTACCATCCTCAGTCGAATGACCAAGCAGAAAGATTCGTGGATACTATAAAACGAGCTCTAGTAAAAGGGGGAGGAGAGGCCATCCCAGAACAAGTAATCAGCAAGTTCCTTTTGTCTTACAGAGTTACCCCCAATCCGGCAGTACCCGAAGGTAAGTCACCAGCCGAGTGCATGTTCGGAAGGAAAATTCGAACAGTTTTTAGCAGTATTTTGCCACCTAGAAAGACAAGTAAACCCACAAATGGAAACCATATGGTCACTCGTAGCTTCAAGGTGGGTGAAAGGGTACTCGTTAAATCGTATCAAGGCGAAAAAAGGTGGGAACCAGGTGTTATAGAACGTCGAATTGGAAGTGTATTGTATTTAGTCCGAAGAAATGTCGGTACTTGTATAAGACACATCAATCAAATTCGAAGGGATGGCAGAACATTGATGCCACAAAGCCGGCTCCCATTTCATTTGCTCATGGATTCGTCTCCAAAAAGCACTCAGGCGCGCGAAGGTAGAAAAGATAAAAGACGCAAGAGCAAGGCGACACAACCTTCGAGAGTAATGAGTCGCAAGAGAATCGCGGTAACTCAGTTCCAGGTGGATCCGAGAAAAAGGACTTATACAACAGACTTTAAAAGGGGGAGGTGTGAGGATGATCCACAGGTGAAGTCGAGGAGGCTCTAGGAAGCCAAGGAAGAGCCGCAGACATTTCAGCCAATCACGGCCAGGGGAATGTTCTAGAAATGCCAACGTGGAGCTTCTCCATTGGATGGATTAGTTTGATACCTATGTGCTTATTGGTTGACCTAAATGATAATTTACTTTCAGCCAAAAACTATAAATACACGAGATTTCTGAGCTATATTTTGACACTGTTTGGGGCAATAAACTTCCTGCTTATCAGTTTTTGTCTTCTATGTTTTGCGGGTTCTATCGTTCAAGTAGTCAAGTAGTTCGCGGCATATTAGGAATCAAGGCTCTGGATATAACAACTATAATGAGTCAATTGAAGCCAGACCACTATGGGAAACCTGGAAGCACTGGTCTATCGGTTAAGTGTTCTGGCGCGAGACTGGTAGGTCCTGGGTTCGAATCTCGTGAGGTGGGATCGTGGATGAGCACTGCTGAGGAGTCCCATAATAGGACGAAACGGCCGTCTAGTGCTTCCAGGTTTTTCATGGTAGTCTACCTTCAATCGACTCATGATTTCAACTATGAAAAGAACTCAATTCACAATAAAAAATGCAGTATTTCGAAAAGATAGATGTAACTCTTTAAAGAAATTATTTGTTCTTAGGGAGTCGTTCTCTAGTTAGAGTAATCATATTGGCGTCCGATTCTGGGAGAGCTCACAAGTTTTTGATCACATTGATAATTAGAAATCAGGAGAAAAACATACACGTTTTAAACAATTAACAAAATAATCTTTATTTTAAAAAAATGTATCATGACTTTAAATCAAAACATTTCTAAAAGATATCAGTGACTACCAAGTTGTTTGAACACGTCAGACTGACTCATCCTTTTTCAGAAGGGGGTATCGTGGAGATTTTAGTAATTTTATATAGCTGAAATTATAAGTCAATTGAATCTAGACCACCATGGAAAACCTGGAAGCACTGGACGGCCGTTTCGTCCTATTATGGGACTCCTCAGCAGTGCTCATCCACCCACCTCACGAGATTCGAACCCAGGACCTATCAGTCTCGCGCCAGAGCACTTAACCGATAGACCACTGAGTCAGCAATCGACGGTATTAATGTCTAACCTCATTATTTTTCTACTAAGAACACTATTGTTAGCTTTAATTAACAGCATTACTCGATAGTTATACTGGAGGCAAAAAATGTATTGGCACTACCTATGACCTAAAAAACCTTTATTATATGCTAATAAACAACTAACATAGACATACTGAACACACATGGAATCATTTAATCCAAAAACCAAAATTATTCACATATCCCAGACTACATCCATCGCTACCGGTTGTCATTCGATTAACTTTTGGGCAGTTTAATTTGACAAGTCATGTTTGTTTTTACGAATTTTCTAACTAGATAGTACATTATGTACTCATTAATGATTTTATTCGATAAAGAATTTCATGAAATTCTAAAAGGAGTTATGAAGTCAACGAAGTTAGTTGATATACGATTGGAGAATTAATGGTTGTGCTGAAGTTGAACATACGGACTGTTAGATTTTACAGTCAGTCAATCACAACGTAGAATTTTGTACGTACTTACATCAGTTCGAGTTGCTATACCACATCAGTAGGTAACTGATACTTCAAATTTGATTTTGTTTAGAATTGTGAATGATGATTGACAAAAATTCCCAAACTAAGACAAATCTAATGGATATCCCAAAATGTTGAGGGATGTAACTCAAACTGGAATGTTTCCTTTCTTTACAAGATATTCAAACTAAATAATTGATATGTTGTATGAAAGTAATAATGACTTACTTTTTCTTGAGGCATTGTCCGCATATCACCATCTTCTTTCCTATAAAATATAAAACAGAGTACCGATAATAATGGAAAGATAACAACACAAGAGCTGAGTACAATGATTGACTAGTTTAAGTGATACTATTTCAAATCAGAATAAATAAAAGAAGGAATAATGTAAATCATAATTAAATAGTACAAAAAGAATCAAAGGTAAAAACTCTAAGAGATAATGAGTGAACCTATTGTATTACTGTTACGTTCTCTACTTGATTACGACCGGAAATTAGCGTTAGTTATAACATTATTATACTTCAACCAATCCGCAAAGAAGGCAAGTTATGATACCGTCAAAACATAGCATGTTACGCTGGTATTCTAGAAAGCTATATCACGTTTCGACTGGATGGGAACTCTTCGGCTCCATTAGAGACTCTATAAGCATCATCGTACTTCTCGAAAGCCCTCCTAATAGTTACTATGAGCGATATTAAATTATATCAGCGTCTATTAATTCCAGTTATTGTGCATACTTTAGAAAGTTAACAGGTACTGTAAATATAGTAAGCTTTCAGTTTAAGAATTTATAAATCTATTGACACTAGATGGTTACACATGCAGAAGACAAATAGAAATTGTTTGATGAGTAAATATGGGTAGAGAGAAGGGATCGCTAAGAAACGTTTTCAGAATATACTTTGAATGTATGTTGAAGAGATGTTTATTTTAATTTCGTTACGTCGTTGATCTGTCTACCCACTAATATACAGAAGATAACTTGTCTCAATCTAGATTAAAGCCTTGATACGATAGGCTAACTGGTTTAGCCTTGACGCTGGAACGTGTGAGTTCCCAGTGAAACTAACTGCCTTAGTTAGAAAGACGAAAATTATTGTATTATCTGATTGCTGGACAGACGAGAGAGATATAGATAGAAAGCGAGAGCAAAAGAGAGACCGAGAGAAGACGAGTTAACTGGAACACTAGTCGATCTATTCCTGATTCTGATTCAGATTAGTGCAGAATGACACACGTCTACATAGATGACTAGCATGACAACAACACACAAACAATTAAGAAAATACAACTATGTTGAAATCTGGGAATTACAGTAGAAAAATTTAGTGAAGATTATGTTTAAATTATAATGGATTTCGGGTGGAATAGGGTATGGCAGTGAATCATGCATCAAATGAAAGCTTATTGTTTGTAGAATAAAGTAGGGTTGGTGTTGTAAAAGCTTTCAATTAAGTAAAATCAAATCACCAACAATAGCTTCTGTTGTTTGCGATGGCTCGTTTGTTTCCCTGTTCACAGCAGTACTATTGCAAAACTGGTGATGAGATATCTTTACATCAACATTTATAGTAATGAATAAGGCTTTTATAATAATGATATTAACTATTATTATTATTATTGGATTTCCTTACATCTCCCTTAGTTTTCAACTACTGTCAGTACTTGTTAAGATCTCTAATATTTTTCTGCTCTTTATGTTAGCTTCCCTTCATTGTGTTTAGTTGAAACAAGATAAGTTAGATCGGTACACATTTGTCAAATTGTGTTTGAACAAGTACTTTCATTGGTAGAAATAGGATGAAGATTTTAACGATAATCGTTTAATGAAAAAACTATCACCAGAGTAGTAAATAAATCAAAGATTTATATCGCGATATAAAAGTAAGTGGGGAAATAAGTTTACGCTACTTTATTAGACTTTATTGATTGAAGTGAGCAGCCAATGTGGGAACGTTCATGGTCTCTAAACGTACTACCACTGGTAAGAATTAACTGTAGAAAAACTAATTGTGATTGGTCGTATCAAGAAATAATATTGGTCTATGACTCTTGGAACAAGCTGTGTAGAGTAATAAGAACATACTAGTTGACAACCTTTAAACAATGGTAGTCGCTAATTCCCCATTTGTTACATGCAAATGCTTCTTCAAGAAACCTCGTGGATAACTCATCTAAATCAACAAATTATGAATAAGCCCTAGTTCCTTGTTTATAGTATCGACTGAGCATATCTTTCTAGCTCTATTTGACAGATATCTAACTAGGTTTCTCTTATAATGAATGGCTACAAAGCTCAAGAAATATGTGTACTGGCTTGCTGAAGAACTTTTCCTATACACACTATTACTGAAAGAACCACTTTCTTTTCTGTTTAACAAAACATCAAGATGTAGTTTATTATCAAGTTCCTCTTCACAGGTCAATTTGATTACCGAGTGTTTATTGTTAAATAGCTCTAACCATTCCTCTTTTCCAATGTTCTGGTCGACAATAATGAAAGTATCATCAATGTAACGACAATAAAAGTCAATAACTACCTGAAAATCAGATCAATATTGGAAACCCTGAGATTAGTCTCAAATAATTCCTTCTGAAATCTACAATGAACGTCTATTTCATCTTTAATAATACATATTGCAGATAAATTGATGGAATGTTGATGAGTTCACCTATAGGTCTTATCCTTCCTGATTTTTTTCTTGCAAAAATTGAAAAAGAACCTCTCAAAGAGGGTAATCGATAAGCTTGATTTTGTTAACGCGTGGCAAAAAATATTACAAGAAACGGATATACTACTGTGAATAATAACAGTAGTAATAACAACTTCTATTGAAATGTATGAGAATTCATGCCGTTGTACTTCAAAATACAAAAAATGCCGGTCAAATCTATTCCCGGATAGATTGATGAGTAATAACTGATTATTTTCATTTTAGGAGGTAAGAAATTGTGGCTAAATAATCACACGTACACTTATTTAGGACTTGAAGGGTAATGTATGTGCATATTATTTATTTATTTGAACAAATAAATATTGGTACAAGGAAGCACCAGATAAATATGCGCCTCACAAATCTCATTTGATTTATGTGAGGACTGTGATACTGCCCAGGTGCCCGAACTGAAGCAGGTGGTTTTCTTATGGGGCCACAACCCAAGCCTTTGACCTAAAGATCTAATCCACAAGACAGTGGAGCATCGTAAGGAGATGCAGTCTCATGGTAGCCGGTCACCAACAATTGGTTCATACGCCATTTGTTCCTTCAGGATACTAAAGTTTTTGTGCACTATTCGTTTGGAATGAGGGTTTTCCAACTCCCCTAGTTGGATTCTTCGTGTCCACTAACTCGGTTAAAGCGCCGAACATTCGCTTTTCGTCCTTTCAATTTGGTAAACAACAGTAATGCCACGAGAAGGCAGTGAGTAGGACTTCCCTGGCAGAGGCTATATATGTGTGGTCATGTGAGCGCATTTGGAGAGGGAGAGCGGACTCTCCCCACTCTCAGCCGTACCAGGGCATTTGGGGGCTTATTGTGAAACACGGTCGTCAGGGTACCAGCCTAAAAGGTTCACATAGTAAACTCTGACCAAAAAAACTGATCTAGGGAAGAGAAGTAAGTGAGGAAAATTTAGATGAATTAGGTAAATCTGATCATAACTCAACGTAAAAATAAAGTTTTTTTTATTAGGTGTCTCTACAAAAACTTGATACAAAACAGTGAGGGACAACACTAGTTATCCATAAATGGATTATCGTTGTAATAAAGTCACATCATTATATACAGGCTTTTTCAAATTACATCTACCTCTATCAAAATTATAAGCTGGAAAGGAAGAAGGATTTCAACCAAACCATAGATAGGCGAACGTTCTTATTAAAGAGTTGGATTAAAGTAAACACTGCGATCAAGTGGGTAGTAGAGAAAAATATGCTGCAATAACTTACCCACGTTTTAAACGACAGAAATCGAAGGCTACTTCACGATAGGAAGCTGCTTTTTCATCCAGATATTTTGCATATGGTCGTAGAAACACGGAAATTCCATGGGCTGATTGTGATAGTATTGGGAGGAAAAGAGAAATTATGGAGGGATATATATATATATATATATATATATATAATCATCGAAGTCAAAAACAGATTATTAAGGCTTCTACGAATGGGTGTAGCCCAAAAGAGCACGAAAACATGGCAATATAGAAAATAAATTGTAGCAAATGTGATCAGTATTTTATGAGACAAAGCGACCGTCTTCTTTATCTATCTAATTGTTAAAGGTAGTGATATAGCTTCATTTATATTATTGAATGTGGACATGCGTTTGACTATGGAAACGTCAAAACACAGGACAGAGGAAACATAAAAATTCAGAGATAATGAACCTTAGAAGAAAGCAGATAAGTCCATATATCAAGCTAATCGTGTATGCAGGTAGTAGTGACAAAAAGTCAACCTTGATATAGTGAAGGGAAAAGCAGCATACTTCAGTCTGAACACAGTTTCAGGCTGTAAAACATCATATGTACAATAATTTATTGCTGACAATCTTGCATTTTATTTGTGATACCTAATCTCTCCAGAATCACTGTTCAACGGTTATCTATTGAATCCTTGATCTCTCATGTCTTTAAATCGATTTCCATTTGGTTAACCGTTTCCAAAACAGGTATTCATGGCTTAGAAACGTGTCATATTTCCGAGATGAATAGCTTCTGCCCCACTATTACTGTGTATCACTATCGCTGTTAAACAACGGGAAGGCCTCCAGCTTACCATGTGATGCAGTGTTCTTAGCTTCGTGCGGATACCTGGATTGTCATAGAGATCATCAAATTAAACAGTAACAAACGCTATTATATACGGTCATGAATCAAGTCCGGTGGAGAATGTTGCCGTTTTGATTTTATTTTATAATTACAGTCACTCACACGCAACGTAGAACATGGCACATTTGTACATACATCCAGGTTAACATCACTCCATTAACACAGTGAGATGAAATTATCAGTGCAAATCATAGAGTAGTAGACGTAGTAATAGAAAAGATTAGACATCGAACATACAACTCGGTAAACTAAAAACTTGCAATCTCAGGGATAAAAAGTGAATGGATTGTGAACGATTTTGAAACAGATCACCCAAAGACCCTAACTACTAATTACGATAATCACGAGAAACCCAATCACGTAGCCTACATTTACCTACAAGGTTCAGTTCAATAGTCAGTGTCATCACGGAGTGATGCCGTTTTTGTTTGCTTGCTCTTAACTTTCTTGCAATCTACTCCCCTACACAAGCCATGATTGTGGGTTGAGGTAGTCGGTTGACAGACATACATAATACATGTCCTAATCATCTCAGACGATAACCACTCCAGATAAGGCTTGTCTTGTTTTCGTTTGTTTGCTAGAAGGGAGGATTATATGAAAATGTTTTTTAGGGCATAGAGTGTAAAAAAGTAATTACGTTACTTTCACTATCAAATTGATATTCTTAAATAGTGTAGCAAAAGGGTAGGTTATAAACAATATAGTTATCATCCAGCTGACGAGTCCCAAAATAGGACGAAACGCGCATCAAACTGGATTCCACTGCTAGCCACTATCCATCTTTGCTTACAATATAGTTATCGCTTCATTTGTTAATCATATGAAGCAGTGTGCATATATAGTATATGAACAACAACAACAACTGAATTCATTAAGAATTATTGGATGTGTTAAGTATACAGATTGGTAGATTAAAAAAAACACAAATAAAACTCAGCTAATTAATTCATAATAAATGACTACCGAAAATGGAAACAATCAACACGTACACACACACACACGCACAAAATACGTCGACAATAGAAAGGATTAGAAAGGTTTACAGTATAAATTAAGTAGTTAGACGTGATCAGTACACAGAGAACAAATAACGTTACTTAACGATACTGAAAAAAAACAAGCAGTACGATGTAGATAATCTAACCACAAATATTTGGTTATTTTTCCAAATTAAAGAATGGTTTCGGAATTACGTGATATATATTAGGATAATATATATTCCAAACAATCTGATTACATACTACTACTTGTTAATATATTTATGAATGAAATAGAAATGTCAACTAGATAGATCGAAAGATATGAGCAGAACAAAATGAATAAGAATAACAAAGTGAATCACATAATTATGGATAATAACTCAATATTACCAAGGTAATATATACCTAATGAAAGCAGTAAATATGATAAAGGAAACAAGTTTTCAAACATAGGTATCTACAAGGTAGACCCTCAAATGTCTTGGTACAGCCGAGAGTGGGGAGAGTCAGCTCTCCATCTCCAAATGCTCTTACATGGCCAACCGAATATATAGCCTCTGTCACAGAAGTCCTACTCACTGCCTTCTAGTGGCGGGGGTGTTGTTCACGAAATTGAGAGGAAGAAAAGCAAATGTCCGGCGCTTTAACCGGGTTGGTGGACATGGAGGATCCACCTGGGGGAGTTGGAAAACCCTCATTCCAAACCAATGGTGCACATGGGCTCCAGGATCCTGAAGGAACGAATGGCATATGAACCTATTGTTGGTGACCGGCTACCATGAAACTGCATCTCTTTACGATGCTTCACTGTCTTGTGGATCAGATCTTTATGTCAAAGGCTCGGGATGTGGCCTCCTAAGAAAACCACCTGCTTCAGTTCGGGCACCTGGGCAGTATCACAGCCCTCACACAAATCAAATGAGATTTGTGAGGCGCATATTTATCTGGTACTTCCTTGTACCAATATTTATGTGTTTAAATAAATAAATAAATAAATAATCATTGTCCACCAACTCAGTTAAAGCGCCGGATATTCGCTTCTCGTCCTCTCACTTTTGTGACCAACACCCCCGCCACGAGAAGGCAGTGAGTAGGACTTCCCTGGCAGAGGCTATATATTCGCTGGCCATATGAGAGCATTTCGAGAAGGAGAGCAGACTCTCCCCACTCTCGACCGTACCAGGGCATTTGGGGGCAGACATGGATAGTCCACCTAGGGGAGTTGGAAATCCCTGATTCCAAACCAGTGGTGCACATAGGCTCCAGTATCCTGAAGGAACAAATGGCGCATGAACCAATCGTTGGTCACCGAGTACCATGGGACTCCTTTTCCTTAAGATGCTCTACTGCCTTGTGGACTAGGCCTTCAGGTCAAAGGCTCGGGGTGTGGTCCCCTATGAAAACTACCTGCTTCAGTCTGGGCACCTGAGCAGTATCACAGCCCTCACACGAATGAAATGAGATTTGTGCGGCGCATATATATATCTGATGCTTACCTGTAGCAATATTTATGTGTTTAAATAAAATAAATTCTTGATTCTAAGTTAATTATGATTTTTAATTCTATAGCGATTCTAAACGGTTAACTGTTAAAGTTTGGTGTAAAAGGTAGTCAATGTCTAAATCTTCTAACGTTATTGCGAAAAGAAAGTTTATATTTATTGACCATCTAGAGAAGCACCGAACAGCATAGTTTTGAGAAAGAGACTGAAAGGATCTATTGAGAAAACGTAATATGCTGATAAGTAGACAGTTATTGAAAAACACCAAGCTCGTGCTTAGAAATTGCAAAAAACGATTACATCACATTCCACAGCATTTATCAATTTACATGTTTGTAAAGATACATATACATAGGGAAGCGTAATCGAACAATGCAATTGAGGGTTATAGAACATGTATCATGATGGCTTTAAAATCAGTGACAAGTGCTGCAATATACACAGGAAGTAGAAAACCAGGTTCATCGACAGCAAGACATATAACTGAAACGGGCTATGGAATTGACATGAACAGAACTTTTGAAATGTTGTATGGGGATTCCCATGAACGAGTCCTGAAATTTATAGAAGCGTTGGCTATTCGCGAATTTAGAAACCTTTTTTATGAGTACAGAAATAATTTGTTGTAACCTTGAATATAACCTGGTAATCTTTTACGGCTTAGGATGAAGTGACAATTTCCATTTCTTTCCAATATTACATTGACTTTTTATCGCTCGTATTATTATCAATTTATGCTTATTTGAATCTCTATTTAACTGACCTCTATTAATTTCCAAGGAAAATGACTTGACAAGTATGAGTGTTATTATTTATTATTATTTGAACACATAAATATTGGTACAAGTAAGTACCAGATAAATATGCGCCTCACAAATGTCATTTGATTTGTGTGAGGGCTGTGATATCGCCCAAGTGCCCAAGCTGAAGGAGGTGGTTTTCTTAGGGGACCACACCCGAGCCTTCGACTTAAAGGCCTAGTCGATAAGGCAGTGGAGTATCGTGAGGAGATGCAGTCCCATGGTAATCGGTAACCAACGTTTGATTCATACGCCATTCGTTCCCTCAGGATACTGAAGCTCATGTTCACCATTGGTTTGGAATGAGGGTTTTCCAACTCCCCTAGGTGAACTGTTCGTGTTCATCAACCCAATTAAAGCGCCGGACATTCACTTTTCGTTCTCTCAATTTCGTAAACAACAGTAATGCCACGAGAAGGCAGTGAGTAGGACTTCCGTGGAAGTGGTTGTATTCACATGGCCATATGAGAGCATTTCGAGAGGGAGAGAGGACTCTTACCACTCTCGGCCGTACCAGGGCATTTGGGGGCAAGTATGAAAGTGATCAGATAGTTTGAAGTGTATGGTGCAAATATTATTACATCTTTTAAATCAACTCTGTCTTCTAATTCCCCCCCTATCAAAATTTATAAAAGGGATTAACTGCCTTTTGATTGTGTACATCCGAAGTTTTCTGTGCTGTGTAAGAGACTAGAAGAGAATATCGTCTTGCTAGGAAAACATTTGAACCAGAAAAGAAATACAAATCTAACCATTAGATAAAGAAGAACTTACCTTGAACACTGTTGCGATCATGTAAACTTGGTACATAAAAATGACAGTTATTTGAAGCGATGTATTGTGAAAATCTCTGAAATAATGATTGAAGACATGATTATTGTAATTTATAAAATAGTAATCAAATAGAAAAATTAATAGATAACTAAGACCGAATAGTTTATATGGTATAAACTAAGTAAATTGGCCTACTACATGTTTAACCCCAAATGCCCTGTTACGGACGAGAGTGGGGAGAGTCAGCTCTCCATCTCCAAATGCTCTTACATGGCCAACCGAATATATAGCCTCTGTCACAGAAGTCCTACTCACTGCCTTCTAGTGGCGGGGGTGTTGTTCACGAAATTGAGAGGAAGAAAAGCAAATGTCCGGCGCTTTAACCGGGTTGGTGGACATGGAGGATCCACCTGGGGGAGTTGGAAAACCCTCATTCCAAACCAATGGTGCACATGGGCTCCAGGATCCTGAAGGAACGAATGGCATATGAACCTATTGTTGGTGACCGGCTACCATGAAACTGCATCTCTTTACGATGCTTCACTGTCTTGTGGATCAGATCTTTATGTCAAAGGCTCGGGATGTGGCCTCCTAAGAAAACCACCTGCTTCAGTTCGGGCACCTGGGCAGTATCACAGCCCTCACACAAATCAAATGAGATTTGTGAGGCGCATATTTATCTGGTACTTCCTTGTACCAATATTTATGTGTTTAAATAAATAAATAAATAAATAATAAATATCTACATGTTTATGTTCTACGCTTTGAATAACATTTATTATGAGAGTTGCTGACATTGCTCACTTATTATCCCCGATGAAGCTGAGATTGAATCTATGACTTTTAATGGTTTAAAGTCAAGTGACTTTGAACCACAGTTGAATTATATTAAAAAAGAGAAAATATTTAAGTGTGCTGTGATGGGTGAATGAAATTGTATATAATTTTATTCTGAGTGCAGTTGTTGCTAACGCCTAAATCTATCGTTAAGAAGTCCTGACAATGTCACGCAGGATTGGACTTCCTATAATGCTGTTTTTCTTTGGTTTGGGGTAGACTATATGCTGTCGTCGGTTATTGTGGGATCGTCGAAAAAGATCTAAGTGGAATAGCCTTATTCAACTTTTATTTTCCAATATATTTTAAATATTTTGTTGCACTTCATTAACTTCCTTTTTACTATTTGATATCTCGTTATCTCAATATTGTTTCACTAAGTTGGACTTATTTAGTGACATGTTTGACAGAACAACACCTGAAGTCCTCTGAGGTTACAGTTGGTCTCAAGCCAGAGTGAAGGAGGGTTGACAACCTGATCTTGTAAAAAAGAACTCTGCTACAAAAACATGGACCATTTAAATTCTGCCCTGAGAGTTAAAGAGTCTTTTTATAGAATAGCTTTAGCGTTTCATAGCAAAAACCAGCTGTTAAGTTGTTTCATGTTCTTTCCAAAAAGATTTGGGAGGAAGAACAAGTACCAGCAGACTAGAAAATATCTCATCAAGATACCAGAAGAAGATCTTAGTGTGAGAACCACAGAGGGATCAAACTACTGTCAGTAACCGGCAATTTTTTCAAGTGCTACTAAAGTGAATGAAAGATCCGGTAGACGCCTAACTCATAGATAAAAAAGACTGGGTTTCGTAAGAATCGACCAAGTACCGAGCAAATCGTGACTTTATGATCATTATTGAGCAATCAACTAAATGAAACTCATCGTTGTACATCAATTTACTTGATTATGAGGTATTTAACAGCATGGATCGGAGGACCTTATGAGATCTTTTTTTGACACTAAGGGGTACCTGAGATTGTTATTATCATATGGAATACTTAAAAGGAACTGCATTACAAGATCATGTATAGAAGGGACCTCATAGATGCATTTTAAGTGTGGAATGGTGTCAGACAGGGCTGTATACTCTCACATTTTCTCTTTCTTTTGGATGTTGACTGGGTTGTGGAGAAATCTAAATTTTAAGGAAAATACGGAATAGTGGAAACTTTAGGCACAGCTAATTGATTTGAACTTTGCAGATTACTTAGCCCTGCTATCGCATACACAACAACAAATGCAGATGAAGACAGGCAGTAAGTATAGCAGCAGCTTTGGTAGAAATATGCCTCAACACTCACGGAGGAAAAATCAAGATCCTAAAGTATAACAGAGTAAGTACCAAGCACACCACACTCGATAGTGAAGCTCTGGAAGAGGTGTAAGCCTTTATGTACCTGGGAGGATCTGGTACAGATATGAAAACACGAATTGGTAAAGCAACGGAGGGGTCACTACAATTGAAGAATATCTGGAACTCTAAAGAACTGTCATCCAACATCAAAGTCTAAATTTTCAAATCTAACGTTAAAACAGTTCTGTCATATGTATCTCAAACTCGGACAACTACCACGACCATCTCTGAAAAGTTACAGGTATTTATAAAGAGCTGCCTATAGAAAATATTCAATTCGTTAGCCACAGACCAACAAACCAGCTGCCAGTTAAAGAGGAAGTTAGGTAAAGACGCTGGAGATGAATATGATACACAATTCGTAAACCATTGAACTGAAACACAAGGCAAGCTCTGATTTGGAATCTCCAAGCCAAAAGGAAAAGGGGGAAACCAACGAACACAGCACTGGGGACTGGAGACAGGGATCAAGACCATGAACAGCACTTGACAATAATTGGAAAGAAGTTTTATTTATTTAAACACATAAACATTCGTACAAGGAGACATCAAATAAATATGCGTCACACTTCGTCATTCGATTTGTATGAGGGCTGGATTACTGTCTATGCGCCTAAACTGAGGCAGGTGGTTTTCTTGGGAGGTCACTCCCATAGCTTTTCATCTAGAGATCTAATTCATAAGTCAATAAAGAAACGTTAGGAGATGCAGTCTCATGGTAGTCGGTGACCAACAATAGGTTCATATTCCATTCGTTTCCTTAGGGATCGTGGAACCCATGTTCACCATTAGTTTGGAATGAGGGTTTTTCAACTCCCCTAGATGGACCTTCCGTACCGACCAATCGGGTTAATGAGCCGGACATTAGCTTGTCATCGTTTCGATTTCGTAGACAACACCCTCGTTACGAGTAGGACTTCCTTGGTAGTGGCTGTATATGCGTAGCCATATGAGAGCATTTGGAGAAGGAGAGCTAACTCTCCCCACCCTCGGCCGTACCAGGGAATTTGGGGGTACTAAATAAGTAACGATGTTATGAACATGAAAAGCTTGAGTAACTGCAACGCACGTAGACGGAGTTGTGATTCGTTAAGCGTCCAGATGGCACACATTGTCAGTTTAGGACCGGGTTATAAAGTTTATGCCACTGCGTAACCCACTGAAAGAGCCCAAGACAGAGTAGTTTGGAGATTTCTGGTCGGTGACCTATGTTCCAAGAGGGGTAACAATCTTAAGTAAATAGTAATATGCAACAAATTTAACCTAAATGATTTAAGCTATTTTTGAAGATGCGGTAGATTAACAGTACAATCTTTTATCTATTGTACCAAATCACCACCGAAGTTCTTTCAATCTAACTGTCTTTCCTCAACTTCATCATGGGTGGCATTCTAGAAACAATTTTGGAGGAAATGTACCATCATTGAGTGGATTTTCCACTCGGATAAGGACTTTATAAGCTTAAATTTGCTCACTTATAGTGTGATAACATGCAAGCTGCTCAAATAGCTGTTAATAAGTTGCATGTTAGTGTTCATACTTACAAAACGTCCTCTGTATCATCGGAAAAAGTAATTCTACCAGTATGCTATCAAGAAAGGTCTGAATTAACTTTTGAAGAAAGCAGATAAGTCCATGTATCAAGCTAATCGTAGCAGTGACAAAAAGTCAACCTTAATATAGTAAAGTAGCATGTCAGTATGAACAGTTTCAGGTTGTAAAACGTCAGGTGTGCAATCCTGCATTTTATTTGCGATACCTTATCTCTCCAGCATCACTGTTCAACGGTTATCTATTGAATCCTTGATTTCTTATGTGTTTGTCAAAATGCTCTCACATGGCCACGCGTATACAGCCTATGCCAGGGAAGTCCTACTCACTGCCTTCTCGCACCACGGGTGTTGTTTACGAAATTGAGAGGACGAAAAGCGAATGTCCGGCGCTCTAATCTGGCCGGCGGACCCGATGAGTCCACCTAGGTGCACATGGGCTCCAGTACCCAGAGGGAACAAACGGTGTATGAACAAATTGTCGGTCACCAGCTACCATGGGACTGCGTCTCTTTACGATGTTCCACTGACTTGTGGATTAGATCTTTAGATCAAAGGCTCGGGGTGTGCCCGCCTAAGAAAACCACCTGCTGCTGTTTGGGCGTTCGGGCAGTATCACAGCCCTCACACAAATAAATGAAATGATGACTTGTACTGACAATCCTATTTACGCGCTTACTATATGCCAGACAATTTGCATTATTATTATTTACCATATCGCTTATTCATTCCCTTTTATTCCCAATTTGTGTATCCTTACTTTTCAACTTATGCAGCGGCTCGCCCATGGTGAAAACTCTGTTCTATCTAAACAATGTCTAGTCGAAAGTGAATTATTCCATCGATTACGAATACTGAACCAGTCTTTCTGGAACCACGTACGCCGTTTAAGCTGGATTCCTTCAACGTTCGCATACTAATGCAGATCAGACAACAGATAGGGCTGGCTATGTCTTTAGAAAGTCTTAATGTTGATGTTTGTTGTCTATCCGAGACCTGTATTCAAGACTCTAGTGAAGTACTACAAATTCGCTTTCCATCTGTCGCTTCGAAAAGCTTGTTTCACGTGCGCTTATCCGGGGACTCTGTGGCATCTTCGTCTGGTCTTGCTGGCGTTGGTGTTGCACTAAGCGCTAGAGCTGAGGCAGAACTAATCGATTGGATCCCCATTAACAGTCGGTTATGCGCTGTTAGATTAGAAAGTCCCAACAAAGTGAGAAGAAATCGGCGTGAGAAACGGTGACTTTTCGTCATCTCCGCCTATGCCCCGGCAGATTGCAGCCCGGATGAATTCTGTGCACAGACCACAACCTGTTTCTGGCCAGCACTAACTTCCGGCACAGTCATCGCCGGTGTGCTACCTGGCGTCCTCCCTCTGCATCTCAAGTCTGAACTCAGATTGATCACATCGCGATCAGCTACCGCTGGTGTGGTTGTATACAAGACTGTAGCTCCTTTTGGAGTACCTATCCGGACTCTGATCATGCCCTGATCTGCGCCAATCTTACCTTACTTTTCAGTGGCCAACGAATTGATCGTCATCAATGGATTGATGTCAGTAAGTTGGTTGCAACTTCTGTTGCAAATAAGTATAGGACCGAGCTAGCTTCTAGGATAGCTACCATACCACCCAAAAGTATAGATGGGCATTGGTTGCAACTGCATGACGCCATGAAAATGGCGAGTAAAATCGCTTGCGGCTTCGCAAAACATCCCGCTTATAAGCACTGGGTTTCTTCTGGCTCCTTACATCTCATCAAAGCCTGTTAGTCTACTCCGGGTGACTGTGAGTTTGATCACAAACGAAGGCTTTTACGCAACGAAATCGGGCAAAGCTTGCGTACGGACCGAGAAGCCTGGTGGTTGGAGCGTGCTAATGAGATGGAAGCAGCAGCTGCATCTGGTAACTGCCGGAAGCTTTTCCAAATCATCCGAGCCACTGGCAGCAAGAAGTCTGGTGTGAAACAATCTGTGAAGATGACAAGACGCCAATCACTAACATCTATCGACGTCTTGGATGATGGGCGGAATTCTTTGAAGGGCAGTTCAACTGGCCTGCTGCTCCGGCAACATCGATCCACCAAATTAGGCGGAAGTCCGCAAGGAACTCCAACTCTTGAAACGCTACAAATCACCGGACCCAGATGACTTACCTCCGGCTCTTTTGAAAGACGGTGTTGACTTTCTGGTTAGGGAATTGACTGTGTTGTTTACAAAGGTTTGGGAGCTAAAGAGTGTTACAACGTCATGGAATGAGTTGATAGTTGTCCGTATCTTTAAAAAGGATTTACGTTGTTGTTGTTTATTTATTTAAACACATAAATATTGGTACAAGGAAGTACCAGATAAATATGCGCCTCACAAATCTCATTGATTTGTGTGAGAGCTGTGATGCTGCCCAGGTGCCCAGACTGAAGCAGGTGATTTTTTTAGGGGGCCACACCCCGAGCCTTTGACCTGAAGGTCTAGTCCACAAGGCAGTGGAGCATCGTGAGGTGATCCAGTCCCATGGTAGCCGGTGATCAATGATTGATTCGTACGCCACTTGTTCCTTCAGGATACTGGAGCCCATGTGCACCATTGGTTTGGAATCAGGATTTTCCAACTCCCCTAGGTGAACTTTCCGTGTCCATTAACCCGGTTAAAGGGCCAGACATTCGCTTTTCTTCCTCACAATTTCGTAAACAACACCCCCGCCACGAGAAGGCAGTGAGGACTTCCCTGGCAGAGGCTATATATTCGCTGGCCATGTGAGAGTGTTTCGAGAGGGAGAGCGGACACTCCCCACTCTCAGCCGTACCAGGGCATTTAGGGGTGTAACAACTATCGGGGGATAAGTCTACTTCCGATTGCGTCCAAACTATTGGCTTCTGTCATACTTCGTAGGTTGTTTAAAACCCGAGAAAGATTGAGTCGCGAGGAGCAGGCTGGTTTTCGTTCTGGTCAAGAATGTGCTTATCATATCTTCACACTGTAACATAATGTATAGTGTTCATTCACATCATGACTGCCTTCGATTCGTTGGACAGGACTGTCCTTTGGGATTGTCTGTTGAAGAAGGGTGTTCCTGAGAAGTGGTGGTGGTGGCGTGAAAGATGAGATTAATGCACGTATAGTGAAAGGCAGATCGGCTTATGCCAATCTGGGCCATCTTCGGCGCCTTCGTGATGTTAGTCTGGCTGTAAAAGGTCGGATCTACAACGCGTCGGTGAGTGCAGTTTTGCTTTATGCTTGTGAAACCTGGCCTCTTCGGGTTGAGGATGTCAAACGTCTCTTGGTGCTTGATCATCGTTATCTCTGAAGGATTAATGACATCCAGTGGCAACACCATGTTAGTAATTCAGAGGTTCGGCATCGTGTTTTCGGGGACAACGTCGATAATCCAATTAGTGTCACCATCTTGAAACACTGACTTCAGTGGCTTGGACATGTTCTACGAGTGTCGTCCCAGAGGATTCCACGTCGTGCATCATTTGCCGACGCTGGGACTGGTTGGAAGTAGAGGAGAGGTGGTCAGTGTATGACATGGTGTCGTGGTACGAAAGAAAGCTGTGAAGGACTGGCTTTTGTTGATCCTTCATGACTCCCTGGTTGGGGTCCGAGAGATGGTGCAACACAGTGGCTTAAAACGTTATCACATATGGCCCAGAATAGAAGCCAGTGGCGAGCCTGCTGTAACCTTTTATTTTCTTCATAAAGAGTGGTCATAACTTCCTTAACTGAAAGAGACTTTCTGGTTGTACATTTTGTTTCCCCCATTATTACACTAACATACATTCTGTGGTTCTTGTTGTTCCCTCTTTTTTCTTGTTTGCACTTTACCGCCTTTTTCTTCCCATTCTCATTGTTATGTGTGGCGCATATATCTGGTGCCCCCCTTGTACCAATATTTATGTGCTTAAATAAATAAATGTGTTTGAATAGGATTAAAACCGATTTCCAAAACAGGTATTCATGACTTAGAAACGTGTCATACTGTGTATCACTATCGCTGTTAAACAACCGGAAGGCCTCCAGCTTACCATGTGATGTAGTGTTGCTAGCTTGGTGCGGATACCTGAATTGTCATAGAGATCATCAAATTAAACAGTAAAAAACGCTATAATATATGGTGATCAATCAAATCCGATGGGGAATGTTGCCGTTTTGATTTTATTTTATAATTACAGTCACTCACACGCAACGTAGAACATGGCACATTTGTACATACATCCAGGTTAACATCACTCCATTAACACAGCGAGATGAAATTATCAGTGCAAATCATAGAGTAGTAGACGTAGTAATAGTATTAGTGGTGATAGAAAAGATTAGACATCGAACATACAACTCGGGAAAATATAAAACAGTAAACTGAAAACAAATTAATGGGGTGATTCGCAAACTTGAGATATCAGGGATAAAAGGTGAATAGATTGTGAACGATTTTGAAACAGATCACCCAAAGTCTCTAACCACTAATTACGATAATCACGAGAAACCCAACCACGTAGCCTACATCTAAATACAAGGTTCAGTTCAATAGTCAATGTCATCACGGAGTGATTCTATTTTTGTTTGCTTGCTCTTAACTTTCTTGCAATCTACTCCCCTACACCAGCCATCATTGTGGGTTGAGGTAGTCGGTTGACAGGCATACATAATACATACGATAATGACTCATCACCTCCCCAATCGATTTGCCATACGCTCAACTACTTCACTCCCCATCGTTAGTTCAGGTGTTGATGCAGACCACTCGTGAAGTAACGCTTTGCATTTAGAGTGGGAGAAACGCATCCCAAATATGCTAGCATAGGTGTTTAACGTCATCAGAAGACTCCGCACTTTTTCAGCGCCTTCGTCAAACAGAACCGTATCATGTGTATTCTAAGTCAACAAGATGACCACCTGTTAGGAAATTGGCTCCTGAAAAGCTAGACGATGAGGGAGTTATCTCCAAGAGAATGTCTATGACAAAGTTAATAAAGAGTTGAGAAAACAAACAAGCTTGACAAACACCATTTGAAGTTATCGACGACAATGTCATCTTCCCATAAGCTCTGATTCGGCCAGTAGTGTTTGGGTCATTAATTACTACTACAGTGTTATTCTCTCCACTGAATTTTGATACTTTCACTGTCTGTGTTTGTTTAATACAAAATTCGTTTTGTGTCATGATTATTTTAAAGTAAATAATAATCCTTGAAATGGTTTCTAAAGGGTCAGGTGATGAGAGTTAACTCTATAGGATTGTCTATTTCAGAATTAAATAAAGTGGGGAAGACAAACAAGACCAGTTTAATGGAACTACGTCCAATTCCTAGACAACGATTGTACGAAGGCATTCCTAATAACTAAACAAAATAAATCTATAACTAGTCATTTATGAAAGGTTACCAAACTGAATTGGAACCATTTTTGTTCTGAGGATTAAACTTGAGGGAAAGTCGACGTACAATCTTATTTTGGAGATCCATTTCACCAGCATGTATAAAGAGTAATGAACTACCTTCAGATTTTTAAATGTAATAGATTAATTAACCCTCCATACAACAATTTGAATTTTTGAGTATCAAGTCCTTTTTTGTACATTTTCCAGAAGGGAACGAAATGTTCAAGATTTACACCATAATACATATATTCATCTTACTACGCAGTCATTCAATGACTAGTAGGAATTTTGGGACATATTTACTAAAAACTAGTTATATATATGGTCCAATCGATCATGTATAGATTATTAAACTTTACTTCGGTTAACATTATACGGAAACTAGTCACGTTACTCTACAATGAAGAACAAATTGACTAGTTGTTTGTCGAAGAGAGTTTGACCTGATCGTTTGGAAACTAAAGTAACTTGATGTTTGAAATGATGAAGATCTGAAGTACAAGTGGATGCTTTCATGGAAGCTTAGGGAATATGGCGCCATTACATTGTCGAGAATGCCTGTTGTCTGAAACGGCATTATATACAATCATCTCTTCGACTGACAGTACCTAACTACCAGAACTACATTTTTCTATGGAAATGCATAGATTTATGGTTTGTTATGTGCAGGAGACTAGTGTTTTGGACTTCTTTGAGTTTTCTCGATTTATACCCCGAAAGGAACATTTAGTTACAGTATACAAAATTTTTACAGCTTCAGCTAATAAAGTTTGTCAAAATAATGCTCTTACCTCGTTCCCAAATTGCATCAAATGGTGTATCGTTAGCAATGCTTTGAATACAACAACTAAGTTGCTATGTTGTGTGCGGATGACGATTTGGTTAGCGAAATCCGGGACTGAAAGGCGAGGTTCAAACGTGCATTGAACAAGATCTTTATTATTCACAAACGGTTATTCAGACACTTACAGGACAAATGTTTTCTTTTAGGAGCGCACATTTCTTCTGTTGTAGCTTTGCAAATAACTTTAACAACTACAGAGCCTGATAAGGTATACTTCATTGCTGTCACTAAGTCTGAAAGACTCTGACCAGTTCCACTACCAGCCAATTGTTTAACGACCTTCCCGGCCATCACTTCGAATAAGTAACGCAAGTGTTCGTGAGTGACGCGAAAATTAAATATATATATATATCCAATGTCTTTGTCACTAGCTTGTATAAACTGATTGATTTATTTGCTGCCGCTTCTTGCTATTGCGTCACTGTTCCAAATATTTAGTTATGTCGAATGGGTGGTAGTCTAGCCACTACACTAATTATAGTCAATGTGATAGTTATTTATGGATTTGTACATCTTGTAGTTTGAATGAGTCGTTTGCCTCAAGGCACAAGGGTTTCTGGATACAAGCAGATATAACATTACGATGCACGAGGCTGATTGGTCACATTATGAAAATAACAAAATGATAATTCAAGTGCTAAGAAACGAATGTTTCAAGAATGAAGAAATTATTTAATTGGTAATATGTAAGAAGACCGAGTTGTAAGGATAAGAAGGAAAACATTGATGAAAATAGGAGATAAGAATTTATGTGGTAATGTGGTGCTGATGACCGTGGTGATTTATAAGGCATGAATCAGACACAACTGGTCTAAGCATGTGACAGCAATCCATGGGTGAATACGTGTTCGTTAAGTCTCCTTTTACACTGTAGAACATCAACGTTGATGTTCTATGTCGAAGTGATTGGGGGCCTACTATAGTTAGACGAGAATGGTGACGAACCAACTAACGCTGAAGTCACACCTCGCGACCAGCCCTTACGTGGATTGAACCATCGACGCATCAAAGGATCATGGACGCTATGGAGACTGTACAACACAAAGGACGTTATTACCAGAACATATTAGTTAAGGTACAACCACGAAAATACAGAAGTGAAAGAACAACCACTGCCGCGTGGGCCAGTCCATGGCATATAATTTTTTGATTGATGCGCGTAGACTATCCTTGACTTTGACAGGGATCAATGATCTGTTCGATATTCGGTGACCCTGCAATACTCCCCCACCAGATTCAATGGCCGTTTGAATCGATACCAAACATGTTGGGAGTAGTAGCGCGCCAGAGGTTGCCAGACGATTAATATGAATCTTCCGGGTATTGCCGAGCTGTAAGAGAAATGGAAAGGAGGCTGCAGAAACTGATCGAGAAACAACGAGTAATAACACGTAACAAGGACGTTGGTTGAATGTTAAGCGATCAACCATAGAAATAATAGAAAAAGAAATATTTTAGAGTTTTATTAAGTCGCGTTGAAAAAGATATATCTATGACAAGTGGTTGAGTTCCTCAGATGAGAAACGTTAAGTTTGTCGCAAGAGTAATGATGTCAGAGTGATAGTACGATAAGTGTATTATCAATCGATACCGATGTTTGTACTGACCTCGGTACAAAGTAGAAAGTCAGTAAGTGTCGTTGACAACTGGTCGTAAGCGTCGATTTCTAGTTATATCTATATTTAACAGACTAACTGTAAATACAAAAGTATAACCGTGAAGATAAATCGTGGTTTCCTTGTGCGAAGCTTCTGATCAACTTGCAGTCAGTTTGGAAAAACTGGTAACTGCTGTGAAAATCAATATGGGTCGAAGAATACAGAGCGAGAGGTGGCACGATGAAATCTCTAAAAGATGATAAACGGTGGGTGCTGCACATGTGTTGGATGAGTGGACCGAAAAATGTCGAAAAGAACATAAGAAACCAAGAGTGTCACTCTGGACTCATGTCAATGATATCGGTGAAAAATGCTGTCAGTGTTGGGGTCGAGACGACAGTATCGTTGTCAGTTTGCAGGAGATGCGCTCGACTGCGTAAACCGATGATTCGCGTGAATGAGTGTCGCCAAACCACCAATTGAACTGGACAGGCTTTAGATCGTCGAGCAGTTGAATAGCCGATTGATGTACCGAAATCATCTATTAGATAACAGTCACGCGGAAACAATACTTCATAAAATTAAAAAATACGACGTCGAATTTGAATAACTACAATAGTTAGGATGTGTTGTAATGTCACATCGAAGTAACATCATTTCGTATACTGACAATTGTACTGAACGTTCGTTTGGGCATTGTTTATGTAGCAATTGGATGTGCAGTAGCAAACATATACGAAGACTATCGTGGGGTTCGTGGATAATTTCAGAGGACGTTTAGATATTTTCCAAACCCGTATTTCATGTGAATAAGTCGAAGACGGAATTAGAGTGACTTTCGTGCAATAAGGAAATCGAGCCATGATTTACTGTGTGAGATAACAGCAAATACAAAGAGCATAGTAAACATTAATTTAAATGGTAACCACCAATGTAACTAAAATTTAGGTTTAGATAACGTGATCGTTTCGTAAAAAAGCTTATTATCTCGTGTTAAGTGACATTAAATACGATGAATGTCTGGTAAGGACATGGACTAAGATTGCTCGTGTACACGTAATACGTTTATCTACAGCATGTTGACTTACGAGTCATAAATGTACATAGTTTCGACTAAAACTTGACGGCAGTGTTAGAATGTATGACTACTCCAAGTGAAAGTAGCCTCGAAATGTTACTAGACATCATAAACATTATACGAAATTATTTAACACAGTTATGAAACTCGCCTGGGTTACTCTTGCTCCAAAGTAATTGAAATTTGTTGATTAAATTCGTAGATTAACGAAGCGTTGTAGACTGAATTGGTATACGTCCAAATTTAATTTGAGCCAAAAACGTAGCATTGCCTGGCGAAACAGTCTAAACAAGATCTAACGTTGCAGGGAATTTATAGTTCAAACTCACCGTAAATTTCTAGCATTTGTATCCTCTGATTCGCCATGGAACTCAGCAATTGGAAATTAGGCAGACAGTGGTCAAGAAAGTTAAATATTCTAGTAGATAGTTTCTGATAGTAGTTAGTTGATAGTGATTAAGCAGAAAGATGAATTTATAATCGACAGTTAATCCTGTATTGGTTATACAAGTGGATAAGTTGCAAACAGATATGCGTTCGTGTTGCCTTGAGGCTATACTTACGAGTGGTTGATATTTTAACAGACATATTACACAGGGGCATTTACATGCTGCTAATGCATGTTAAAGAACCACGATAGTCGATTACAGTCGTAGTTGATTGGTTAGTTCTATCGATTGAACTAATTATTTCAGTTGAAATACTAATCAACAATGATATGAGGCAACGAATGTTCACAGAAACTGATAAAGATAGCCGAAGTTAAAGATGAAAACAAAATGTATAGAATGCAATAAAAAAAGATCATAATGATAGGTTGCGTTATTCGAAGTCGTGCTTACCACTGTAGAACATCAACGTTGATGTTCTATGTCGAAGTGATTGGGGGCCTACTATAGTTAGACGAGAATGGTGACGAACCAACTAACGCTGAAGTCACACCTCGCGACCAGCCCTTACGTGGATTGAACCATCGACGCATCAAAGGATCATGGACGCTATGGAGACTGTACAACACAAAGGACGTTATTACCAGAACATATTAGTTAAGGTACAACCACGAAAATACAGAAGTGAAAGAACAACCACTGCCGCGTGGGCCAGTCCATGGCATATAATTTTTTGATTGATGCGCGTAGACTATCCTTGACTTTGACAGGGATCAATGATCTGTTCGATATTCGGTGACCCTACAACACCTATCCATCAATGGGGCTATGGTCACTTAGGCTGGAGGGGGATTCAAAGTGGAACAACTCCTAATGAGAAAAAATGAGTGTGCTTTGGTGCTTGATCTCTGATGAGTAGGCCCTCAAAGGTTGTCTCGAGGAGCATGGTGACGTTCTGTAAATATGAACGTGTTCGAATGGCTTGGTATACCTGATATGTTGTATATCGTTACCAGATCGTTTCTTATTTTTCTTCAGCTAAACGAGAGTAATCTCGGGTGTTAAAGTCCGTTTTCGTAAGACTTTTGCTTTGATCTCATTACTCACTTGGTTGTTAGTCTATTTACTTGATCTAAAAGAATTATCTCTATTTTGAAGAGACGAGACGTTACGACATTATAAACCTCAAGGTGAGGTAGTGTGTACACAATAAACAATGTTTGGAACAACTCTGCTGCGATTAATGCAAGTTATCCACACATAAAATAGAGAGTAGCGTTTGTCTTGACTGCATCCTTCATGTAGTTTAAATTGGTGTCTAAACTCTCCGAGGTTACAAGTCTGAGATCACACTCCGAGGAGACATTAGAAAGCGACTCCCATGGCGAGTGTAAGCGCTTTGTGTCAAATGAGGCAGAGAGTTCATGACATGACATTTCGGCAAATTAAGTTTCAACCAATTGTCTACTGCTCAATTCTCTATTTTTATAATGTCCTCTGGAAGCTCAAGTGAAACCTCTCCTCTTTTTGTAGACCTTCAGGTTTCGATTCATCTGATATGAATACCGCAGAGCTGACTTTATTTAACAGGTCTTTAGTAAAGATCAAGCACGGGAGTTAACTTATGGTCGTTCCATGTGAAATTCGTGATGTTGCGAGTTTCCAGCATGAATGTATTCTATGTATCTTGGTACGAAACATCCAGTTCTCTGGGCAATTTTGGTGCCAGGATAAACGTAATTTAGTGAAACTCATATTTGCAAGTACATGAGGTATTGTCATAGGCTTTTGAAAAATGAAGGAACATTACATGAGTCTGTGTCGTACGGTCACAGTAGGTCGTAAAGCTTTGTAGATTGGATGCGCAGGATCTGAATTACCTGAGCCCTTGTTGGGCTTTATAGCGGATGTTGCTTTATCCATGTATTTCCCCATTTGTTCAGTGACTATTCTCTTTGATATTAACCCGATAGTTTGTTGAATATCTCACAGACCCTAAAACGGCACTAGAATCCCTCACTCTCAGGCCCCTGATTTAGTTGGTCTATGAAGTTGACATTAAAGATCTTTGCCATCTCTGAGTCAATGAGATGTTCACCTTTTGTCCCTTCAGGAGTACAGATCCCCTGGTTTGTAGGCTTTCACAATATCATGAATCTGTAGAGATATTCGGGTTATTCGGGGGATTTTTGGCTACTAGCTTGGTCAAACAACATCTATCGCTGC